TGAGTCTTGGGAAAATCCGACCCTAATGGTGACCAGGAACGCCCATCTCTCCAGCCAGCTGGAGAAGGTGTTGGCTGTTACGGTAAGCATGCCCATGAATGGAGGGAGGTAACGTCACACACCCGGGCCTTCCCAAGATGGCTGTCTGTCCCCGCAGCTCTCTGGTCAACCCCGCTGTGCATCTCCTTCTCTTACAGTATTACTTACTTCCCCTTTCTCTGCCAACAGAGGTGGCTCTTTTCATTTGGCTCTTTTATGCTCACGATTCCTTCTTCCCTATAACTTCAGTTTCCTACTGACTGTGGCTTGCTATGCCCTTGCTGCCCCTTCTACCTTCATGCCCCCCCAGGAGGGCTTCCAGTCTCTTTTATTATGTCCTTAGGTCCACCCTTCACCCCCCAGAACTAAAGTTAATGCCATCATGTACCTCCCAAATCAAACCCAAACTCTTAACTGTGGCAGAGCTGGCCACTCAAGTCTTTCCAACCTGCCTTTCTCGTCCCACCAATTGCCTTCCTCCTCATGACCCCACGTGGCAGATGTCCCCAAGGTTACTCTGAGCTATGCAGCTTCCCTTCTGCTCATGGGCTTCTGTCTACATCTAAATTCTCTATGTGCTTCAGAGACCAGCTCAGGACCTGCATTCGTTCCCTAGGGCTGCTGCAGCGAAGTACCACAGTACCACAACCTGGGCGGTTCCGAGAAATGCATTCTCTCACAGTTCTGGAGGCCTGAAATCTGAAGTCAAGGTGTCAGCAGGGCTGTGCTCCTTCCAAAGGCTCTAGGAGAGAGTCTTTCCTTGCCTCTTCTGGTTTCTGGTGGCTCCCGGCATCCCTTGGCTTGTGGCTTCATGGCTCCAATCTCTGTCTCTATCTTCATGTAGCTCCCCCCGTCCCAGTGTGTTTGTCTCCTTTCCCCTTCCATCTCTTATTAAGGACCCCTGTTATTGGATCAGGTAATCCAAGATGTAACCTAGGATGATATCACTCCGAGATCTTTAATTTAATGACATCTGCAAAGACCCTTTGGCCAAAGAGGTCATGTTCATAGGTTCTGGGGATTAGGAGGTGGACATATCTTTTGGGGGGAGCACCATTTAACCCACTATAATCCCTAGTTCCTTTCTGAAGACTGCCTCCTGGTCAAAAATGACTTCTTTCTCCTCTGAGCTCCCATGCCCTTTATTCAAGTCTTTTAAGGCACTTAAAATTTATTTTGATTTTTTAGAAGACTTTATTTATTTGAGAAAGAGAGGGAGAGCACAAGTGGAGGGGAGAGGGGCAGAAGGAGAGGAAGAAGCAGACTCCCGGCTGCACAGGGAGCCTGATACAGGGCTTGAGCTCCTGGGATCATGACCTGAGCCAAAGACAGACACTTAACTGACTGAGCCACCCAGGCGCCCTCTGCCAAAAAAAAATTTTTTTTTAAAGATTTTATTTATTTATTTATTTAGAGAGCAGGGGAAGAGGCAGAGGGAGAGGGAGAGAGAAAATCTCAAGCAGACTCCACGCTGAGCATGGAGCCCAACACGGGGCTCGATCTTAGAACCCTGAGATCATGACCTGAGCTGAAACCAAGAGTCAGACGCTTAACTGGCTGAGCCGCCCAGGTGCCCCAAGGCAATCTTGATGTTCTCTTGTGCAGCATAGACATATTGCCACCAGTGGTAAGAGTGTGGGTTGCAGAGTTAGATGTCCAGGCTTCAAATCCCAGCTCTGCCACTTGCCAGCTGAATGACACTGGTCAAACCACGTCGCTTTTCTGGCTGGGGCCAGGATACACCGAGGTGCTTAGGGCACACCATGTAAGGAGCTACTCACTCTCAGGGTCCAGCAGGTGTAGGGTCCGCCCTCTCACCACCTTGACAGGGACGTTTCTATGAGCTTCCTTAAATTTCATGCCTCTCTTGCCTTACACTAGTCCCTGCCCTGCCTCCTGCCCTGGTTTTTTAATCTGTGAAATAGGGACAGTGACCTCCCTGGTAGAGAAAGTGTAGGGACTCAATAACTAGCACAAGTAAGAGACTTAGCACAGTGCCTGGCGAGCTGGTCTTCATGTCTAATTCATTTTCAGAGTCCTAGTAACTTTAAACACATTACATCGAAAATAGTATGTAATCAATTATGTTTAAGTGAATTAATAGCTGCTAAGTTTGAGGCGTGTGGTGATGAGTCTGTAATCAGGAAAACAGCTCCAACTTCGAGTCCCTGGATCAAGGGTTCCTGAGCTGGTTCATTTCCTGGTTCACGTGAGTGCTGAGAAGGTTCAGGTGAGGAGTTTTGGACAGAAGGAGTAGAGCCCAAACTTCACAAAATTGCTGAGGTTGGTTTTCAAATTAGAACCATGAAGGAAAAGGCTCCAGAAGTGGGATGCGTGCACGCTGGAAGGATTAGCTCGCGTCTGGGTAGCAGCTGCTCAAATGTGCAAAGTGGCTCAGGTTCATGCGAGCTGGTCACGTCGGGAACGGAGGGACCCCCTCTCCGTTAGGCCCTTGCCAGTTCCGCGGGAAGGAGATTCTTTCCTGGAACACGGAGACTATCCTGCATCTTGCCTGGAACTCCATGAAACTGTTGGCAGCATCTGGCTCAGCTGGGTGCATCCCGAAACACCATATTTATTTGATATCGGAATTGATATTCCTCTTTTACATTGTGGTTGGGACTCATTAACTCTCAATAAGGACCGACGTTGAAGGAGGAGCTTCCTCCCTTTCTTACGAAAAAAAAAAAAGGTTTCCTTGGACAGGACATAGCTCCTGTAACTGATTTGCTCTCCTGGCACCCGGCAGCATGTGGTGGGGTGCCCCGGGGCTGGTAAGAAAGGGGACAGACTCAAGAATTCCTGGGTGGGAAGGCTTTTTCCCTGCGCTTACCACAATTGCTAAAACACTAAGTTTAATAGCCCAAGACTGGTCTATATTTGCGTGGAAACCGTGTTTGTGTGGATTTTTTTTTTTTTTTAATTTCAAGATGGCCATAATAAGAGCCAGACTGTTGATGAGTCTAACGATTAGAAGCAGCTCCTAAATTTCCCACACAATCATGGTAGGTTCAATTCTGAGATCTTATTCGAAAAGTTCAAAATGCGTGGTGTTTTTATCTAGCGACCTCACTAAAGCACTCAGACCCACTAGTCCCAGACACAAGCGTTACGTTTGCGGTTGCCCAGTGCAAGGATCGTCCTTATAACCAGCCATGGAATTTAAGTAAAGCAGTCTGGAGGGGTGTCGGGAAGGTTCATTTCAGTAACTGCTCTATTTATGTCCACAATATCGCTATTAAATTGGCAAGTACGAAGCAGCCTTGAGTGTGGCCGAGCGTATGCAGTCACCATTCCTGGAGGAGCTGTGTGCTTGGAAACGGGAGCGTAAAGAGGGTTCTTGGCTTCCAGGAATTTGGCTCAGGGCTTCAATCCATTTGAATCACGTCCACCGTTACACCTGCTCCTTTTGGAGCCAAACCTGCACATTATCATCATTACGCTTCAATAGCACTGAAATTGCAATAATCTATGAGATCTGTCCTTTCCTGTTCTTTCTCTGCCACAAAACAGAATTTCCAGGAGCTTGTGGGGGTGGGATGGGGGTGTTGAAAAATACATCCTGGGTCACCGCTTGAGAGGTTTTTATTGTATATTTTCCCCAAGCGATGCTCGTAGTCAAAGTACGATGGGTATAGAATGAGCAAACACTTAAACTGAAAACAATCAGATGGGAAAGTCCTCTGCTTTAGTGAGAGGTCACTAGTACTTATTTCTGAAGCTATTATCAACTTGGACTGTGGGATTGGAGGGGCTCTTCCAATACAGGTAGTGACACAAAAGAATCGCTGCTTTTTTTTTTTTTTAAGATTTTATTTATTGATTTGAGAGAGAGAGAGATAGCAAGAGAGAGCACAAGCGGGGAGGAGACCCTGACATGGGGCTCGATCCCAGGACCCTGGGATCATGACCTGAGTCGAAGGTAGATGCTTAACCAACTGGGCAACCCAGGCGCCCCTGAACCACTGCTTTCAAGAGAAACCCGGGCACCAATAACAAACTCATTGCTTCCATCTGTATCTTCTATAAACAACAAGATCCTAATGTAAATATCAAGACACGGCTCCACTAATCCCATAGTATTCTCGTTTGCCATGAATCATGAAGTGTCACCTTTTCAACTCCTGAATGCCCAAGGAGCAGGAAAGAAACTACACAGCAAGGGTAAAGGAATCTAGATCAGGGATTGGCCAACTACAGTCCTAGGGCTGACCACCTGTTTTTGTAAATAAAATTTTACTGGCATACAGCCGTGCTCATTCATTTACACATTAGCTATGTTTGCTTTCATGCTAGAGTGACAGAGTTGAGTAGCTGCGACAGGCGACGTTGGCCCACAAACCTAAAAATGTTTACTCTCTGCGTCTTTACAGGAAAATTTTGCAGACCCCTCGTCTAGACAAATAGTCAAATGAGTCAGGTTGTTGGCTACAGGTCCCCAGTTCACAATGCCAAGAGAAGGACTGGGTTGGCTTTGGTTGTTGTCATGCACTTTGAAATTTAAAAACTCTTATGAGCCAGTACAACTAAAAGTCCTACTCACCTTGCTTTGAAGAAAGAGTATGGAAAGTAAAATTAGGTCTCAGTATATTTTACATGTTGCCTGGACTTCTAAAGCATTGCTGGATTGCTTAAATGTGCACAAGTCAATGTCACTTCTCAAAACTTTTAAAAGAGGCAAATGTTGGCAACTTCTAAAGTATTGGCATCATGCTTGTGTCTGTACCAAATTCGACAATGCTCAAAACCACGTGCTGTAGCTATAAATGTAGTCCTACTTCAAGTGAAACTCTTTAGTCTAAATATTTTCAGTCTTTGAAACTGGTTTTTAAGAGTCATCAGAAATCTGTAGTTTAAGACACCAGACACATTTCTTAGCTGAGCCTTCCAGTGCCAACATATTGGACCAATTCAGTAAAACATGCCATAAATTATATGACTGTTTTATTTGAATTAGGGGATACTTTCCACAATAGCAGGAATTCTTACTGGGAGTTCAAAAGCCAGACACAAGCTCTAGGTTATTATTCATACACTGGTGATGGATTCGAATCTTGCCTTTGTGGCCAGGTTTGGCCAGGAGTATAGGTTATGACAAAGAACAAAGCTAAAAGACCCAAAGCAGTTAAGATTGCAGTCTCAATAGCTCTGAGTTATACCACCTTTACAAATGCAAGACAACTGGCTGGAACAACCTTGGAATGACATGTCAGAAGTGACCGGAAGCTTATGGAGTATCACTCAGGATAGGGCTTCTTACCTGATGTTGCTTACAATGAAGGCTAGCTCTCTTCTTGTCATTTAAATATATTAGTAGATCATTAATAACACATGTGATTATGGACTCTATCTGCAAATGAATCTTAGTAGATCTGTGACTAGTCGCAGCAGAAAAGCCATTCAGGTCCAGGAGCACATAACCTTCCTCTCTAGACTCAGGTTGGGTCACCTGCTATGTCTACAGATTTAAATGGCTAAAATCCAATTCTCTACTCACAGCTCTACTCTTGCCTAGAAGAATTTATAAAGCTTGAGATAATAACTTGGGGGAGGAAATGGTGTGCTAGTGAAAATAACACTAAGAATTTAAATACAATTTTTGAGACTTGTGTCTACAGTTAAAACATGTAACAAATCCACTAGGTAAGTCATGAGAACGATACGAATACCAGCATAGGATATGAAGTTTTCAGTTTCAACTCAAGTATAATCGGATCACATAGCTGAAGAAAATGTCCATCATTCTATAGTTTTTGAAAAATTGGTCTTAATTCTTAAATTGCTTTATCTGAAAAAGTTCACCAGCCAAGGTATACACCATCACAGAATGCCACTTACAGACTCTCATTTTAAAGATACCCTTAATTTTCCAAAGGACAGTTAGAATAGGGCTCATTTTCAGAAAAAAAAAAGATGATTCACTGTTCTAACTCAGGACTGGAAAGGTGATATCCTTACGGGGGAGGCTCATAAAAGACATCGTAGGAGAATGACTGCTCTCAAACTTTTGGTCCAGGAGTGAGGTTGGGGGGTGAACACGTCTCTCTGAAACAAAGCAGCTGACGCTCGAAGTTGTGTGGGAAGGGCGGCCTGTGTGTTCTGTGGCCAAATCGTGAATGCACATTTTTGTGTGACAGTCCTGCTTGGGGAGCAAGGCTCTCATTAAGTTCTAGCCGGTTCGATGTTCACGAGGGGGACGTCCAGGGTGTGGGGAACACTTCAAATTACATTTCGTGAGGACACGAGACTGTCAAAGCTTAGGAAGGCCCTGCTGTTAAAGGGCCGTGGAATGCTGTCAGCACAAACTAGCTGCGGACACAAAGGGAGGTTTTTTAAAGGTGGTATCGAATAACAGGCCAGCAGCCGTTCCCTCTCGGCTGCTTAGACCTCTTTCTTCTCTCCACTTTGGCTCTTTGTTGAGTCACTTCCATCAGGCAAAGTTCCATAGGATAAGCCATTTGGATCTGGTTGTATTTTGTCCAACATTTGTTTCCCTGTGGAGATAACGATCACAAAAAATCTTTTGCGCTCTTAGAAAAGAATACGTCTTAATAATAACTTCCCCTCTCTTTAGGCCACATTTTATTCCCTTTTTTTTTTTTTAGTGCTCTGTGGTCACCCTCTGCACAGAAGAGATCAACGTCAGGAAGAAAAGGCCCTAGAACTCCGTGTCCCTTGTGGTGACCACACACTCTCCACAGGAGACAATGGTCTCCCCGCCACACAGGGCCTCCTGGGCTGGGCATGGAAACCGGGTTGGATCGATCAAGAGATGAACATGAAGCATCCACTCATCTCCACACCTTCCATCCCAGTGTCCTTTCTCCTTTTCAGTGTTTGCTCTAATGCACGTAACAACAAAGAAAAGCAGATTTCCATAGCAGCTTCTAAAAGCTGTTGCTGATCCTATGTATGGGGCTTTGTGAACTGAAAAATCGAGTCAAATGGTATTTTCTACCCAAGTGCCCCTAACCACACAAGTCATTCATAATGCACAACTTTGCCACGAATGCCAATCTTTGCCTTGAACGCTCTTAGTTGGTAAGAGGGCCCAAGAGGGAGAGAGAACACGGAATTCCTTGGGTCATATTTTCTCAGTTGTAGGGACAAGGCTTTAATGGCTTTTGCTTCAAAGTCTGGGACCTAACAGAATGGTAGAGGAAGCTGTCAGAACATCATTACTTTGGTCTAGAAACCTGTAGGTTGCCCCAAATGCCTAGCAAAGCTGGACATACTGGGTGGGCAGGGGAGGAGGTGAGGACACAGCCCACCATTTGCTTTGTTCTGAACATCGCTTCTGCTGGCTACATGACGACAGTGAGTTATTTCCCAGTGAGAGCGGAGGACTGCAAAGATGGTGCGTGTGAAGTGGATCGGGATGAAGAATGCAAGGGGGAGGGGAAGAAGCTCTCCCTGTTCAGGCAATGGTGAAGAACGTCCCTTTTGGCCCCACCGTGCACAGGTCACTGCAGTCTTCGCCAGGAATGATGGTCCTTGGCAGCCTAAGCTCCCGTCCTTAGAAGTTCCTTCAAAGGCTCTCCAAGCAGCAGGGGACCCCTGCTATAGCCATTCCCTACTTCTGTCCCCACCCTTTTTCAGTTTAAGGGAACCCAAAAAAAGAAATTGGCAACATCCCCCAAATCAAGAAAATGGGGCCAGTTCTCTTATATCCCTAGTGTTCTGTGCGAAACCGACATTCAAATAAATGATTAGTAACACTGACAGTTAAAACATCACCTCTGGTTTCATGGTTAAATAGACATTTTCTTGGATTATAAGAATTATGTTTTATATTAATCTTAACACCCCAAATAATACCGGCAACTACTAATTTATAAAGTTTTCCATCATAAATTAAAGAATATACTGTTTTACCAGGAATATTTCCAAAATCAATGTAAGATTGTGGCAGATGTTCCTTTTCTCGATTTCTTGTGACCAAAAGCACACCAAGGAATGACAGAAAACACCTGTAAGAACAATATTAATAAGGAACACAAGAACACTGAAACAACCCATGGTGTTAAATAACAGCTCCATAAGTCTACATGATGACATAAATTCCACTGGTTTTGTTTTTCCTGTTTCTCATGGTAAGCCTCCTAGAACTTGTCTTAATTGCTGCAGCCAATTATATTTTTCCCCAGAACCAAGACTTGGGCAGCTTCCAATAAATCTCTGCCCCAGGTTTTTACCATCTGGAGGCTAATTCCGGCTCTAAACCCTTTGGGTAGACACTAGGTCTCGTTTCCTACCCATGCATGCCCAGACCCATTATTGGCATGCAACACGAGCAAGTATGTGTGTGTGTGTGTGTGTGTATTTCTTTAATTTTCTAAGAAATCTAATTGTCCTTGGCCATAAGAATAGTCATAGTTTCCAGATCCTAGAAGTTTAGGCTTGCCCAAGTATCTTATGAAATTGAATTTTCAAGCTAGATGGTTTTCTACGCTGCAAATAAGCTGGGCTCAAGTCTGAATAATAATGGTCATGCAGAACACCAGAGCAAGAAACAGCTAAGCATTAATGGAGGGCCAGCTGGAACCAACAGAAGATCTTAGACGTTGGTGATGTTCTGTCAAAGTTCTGCTCTCTGCTTGCAAGAACGTCAGCAATGATGCCAACTGAATTTCCAGGCAGGGTTAAAGATGGGCACCCAGACACAGGAAAGGGATACTACCAATCTGATGTTAGTAGGTCCAAAGCTAATAATCTGCCCCAGACTTAACCTTTTATTCTAGAGAATCCTAGAGGCATCTGTGCTTCCTGAGTGAGTTCTAACCTAGAAATTTCCAAGAGCGAGATAGGTCTGATTTAGCACAGAAAGGTCATGGAGTAGCTCCAACAGCTGATGGTGGATTTATCTAGACCTTGGCTGGAACCGAAAATCCCCAGGTTCAGAACCCTCAGAGAGAGACCCAAATTACCAAGTCAAAGACACAGAGTCCTGTGGAGGGTGTTATATTGAAAACTATGTTTCTTTTAAGAGCTCAGGAAACTAATGTTTCTTATATTGTCTTCCAATTTTCTGTACCTCAGATATAATGCCAAAAATCCCACATAAAAGTAATAGGATTTCACGTTCCTTACTTATGAGACATCTACTCACCCAAAAAAATATATAAATATAGTTAGAAAAGCTGCGCCAAGGAACTCCTGATAAAATATGATACCTATAACAGGAATAAAAGACAAACTTAATTTCAGGGTAAGAATATATATACTAGCTTTCAAATTATGTTCATGTATTATTTTTTTCTAAGGATAATTACCCTTAAAATGCACATTCAGTAGCTTAAGTTTAAAAATATTTGCATGCCACACTTACATTTTCAGTAATTTCAAAAAGAACATAGATTCATAGACTTTATATAATGCATTATTATTATAAAATCAACACAATTGACATAGCTTTTGGAAATAGAAATTTCTTATCCAGTCTAGGATTTGTCCCACTGGAAGAGGCAAGGAAAAAAACTCTGGTGACATTTCCCACCTACACTTTTAGGCCAGGGGTCAGCAAGCCCGACCTGAGGGTCTGGGTGGACTCTGGGGCCCGGGACACGGCATTCCCTTCAGCACAGCACCTGGCTGCCCAGGCTGATGCTCTTGGCAATGCCTCATGCGCGCTCACGCACTGGAGGACGTGGGAACCATTCTCCCCAGCTCTGTTTCTCACTGCCAAGCCCCTCTCCCTTCTCTTCCTTCTGCTCTTCCCTTTTGGGGGAAGGAAAACTTGGATGTGTTATTTATTCTGATAAACTTGTCTTCTCTCCGTGTTGGTCTTGATGGCTTCTTCTTGGTCTAAGGTTCCAAAGCCTTCAGAAAGTTATTTTTTTTTTAAAGGTATCTTTAAATTATGTATTATGTGGAACTGAATTTGTGTTTCTGTGTGTGTGTCTGTGTGTGTGGTGTTAGCCTGGCTAGTCAGCTGACAAATATTTATGGAGCCCCACGTGCCTGCCACGATGCGAGGTGCCGTGGCTACCATGATGGACAAGCCAGGGTCCTGTACCCAAGGAGCACTCTCAGAAGCCCATCTCCTCACCTAGAGAATAAACCTCGTTCAGGCAGAAGCCACGTCCAGTTCTAATAAATATTTGTCGAGTGGATAAACAATTTGAGAGCATTCTTCCATGTTATTGCATACTTCCTTGTAATCATTTTAATGTTTCCATGTTATTCTAAGCAGATGTACCATAATATTCATTTCTCTAAGGGCATTTTAAGCAGTTTTGAAATTTTTTTGCTTTAGTCAAGTAGCAATAAACTTCTTTGTACATATTTCTTTTTTTTCTCAGTATTTTAGGATTTTTCTTGTTATTGCTCCTTAAAGCAGAATTTCTTTTGTAAAGAGTAGAAACATCTTTTTAAAAATTTGTAGTAAAGGGACGCCTGGGTGGCTCAGTTGTTAAGCATCTGCCTTCAGCTCAGGTCATGATCTCAGGGTCCTGGGATCGAGTCCCGCATCGGGCTCCCTACTCAGTGGGGAGCCTGCTTCTCCCTCTCCCTCTGATCCTCCTCCCTGCTTGTGCTCTCTCTGATAAATAAATAAATAAATAAATAAATAAATAAATAAATAAATAAAATCTTTAAAAAAATTTGTAGTAAAATACAAATAACCTAAAGTTTACCATCATAACCATGTTTAAGTTTGCAGTTGTTGTGTGAAGTATATTCACACTGTTGAGCAACTAATCGCCAGACCTTTCTCACTTGGCCACACTGGAAGTCCATTCCCATTAAAGGACAGCTCCCCATTTGCCCCTTCTCCAGCCTCTGGCAATCACCACTTTGCTGCCCATTTCTGTAAGTCTGACTATGCCAGATACCTCATATAGGTGCAAACATACAGCATTGGTCTTTTTATGACTGGCTTATGTCACTCAGCATAATGTCCTCAAGGTTCATCCATGTTGTCGCATGGGTTAGAATTTCCTTCCTTTTTAAGGCTGAATAATATTACATTGTATGACATGCCACATTTTCACTTTCTACTCATCTATCAATGGACATCTGAATTGCTTCCACCTTTTGGCTATTGTGAATAATGCTGTTATCACCCAGGCATACAGGTATCTCTTCGTGTCCTTGCTTTTGGTTCTTTCAGATGTGTGCCCAGAAGTGGAATTGCTGGACTATATGGCAATTCTATGTTTAATGTTTGGAGGAACTGCCATAGTGTTTTCCATAGTGGCTACTCCATTTTACACGCCCGCCAACAGTGTGTAGAACTCAAATTTTTCCACATCCTCAGCAATACTTGTTAATTTTGTTGTTGTTGCTGTTTTGTTTTGTTTTTGCTAGTAGCCATCCTAATGGGTATAAGGTGGTATCTCCTCATGGTTTTGACTTAAATTTCCCTAAGGATTAGTGATGTTGAGCATCTTCTCATGTGCTTATTGGTCATTTGTACATCTTCTCTGAGAAGTGCCTATTCAAGGCCTTTGCCCAGCTTTAGACTGGGTTATTTTTGTTGTTGTTGTTGAGCTGTAGGATCAGAGACTAGAAACATTTTTCAGGCTCTCGATAAAGATTATGAAACTGAGCCCTAGGAGGGCGGTCCATGCCACCCAACTCCACGAGAGCTCCTCCAGCCTCAGTTATTGCAACAAAAAGAACTAAACAGAAACCTTACTAGTTTCTAGGCAAAATATGGTATTGCGTTTTAATCTTAAGCTAGACTTTTTGATGGGGCCAAAAAGGGAAAGTTAGTCAAGAAGCTTCACCTCCATTCCACACTTCAGCAACAGCAAATGAATGATCGCTCCCAGAAAGCTCCAGCCTCCCTGACTCATCAATTACTTGGTGTGTTGAGTATTGAGATTCCAGCCCTGTTGGTCCTCCTACAAAATGTTCTTTTCAAGGGAACTACCTTTTTTTTTATACATCTTTACAACATTAATATTAACTATTAGGACGTATGTCATGCCTGCAACTCTTTTTGGCCCTATTAATTTTTTTTTTCTAGTAATTCTAGGGCACACAAATGTGCAGTCTTTTCTTACTTTCTTTTGTCAACAAGCATAAAATGCTAAAAAAAATCAGATGTCTTGGTATATGATCTTTCTCTTTAAAAGTAAGGTTCAATTTTGGGAAATAAAAAAAATGCATCGATTACTCTTAAAAACTGCCCACTAGCAGTCACATTGTTTGCCATGAAATAAGAAAGATGTGCCAATTAGGAAACATAATCCTTAATTGCTTCCAAAATGCATAAATTTTGCTTTGGGAAATGAACTTCCAATATGAGAAGGTAGTAAATATATACAATAAGCCAGTAAACTAGGCCACACCAGTACTAAACTTAGGAGTGAGATACTGGAATCTACTGTATTTTGATTTGGATCAAGTTTCAAATTTGTGCTTTTTTAAGAACACTTTTGTGTCTCATATATATATAATTGTCAGTAAATACCAAAGAACTATAAGAGCAGAAAAATAGAGGTCAGAGCAGCAAGGATAGTTGTTTCTATTCTCGTCTGCTTGGCCTTCCCTGGAACACTGGATTCAGTTTCGGATTCAATTTTGGATCCCTCTGTCTGATCAAGGCAGTGAGGGACAGGGAGGGAAGAGTTCATGGAAATAGGGATGTTTGGTCCAGAGAGAAGATACAAGAGGACCCTTCAGCTGCTTTGATTATCAGAAGGGCTGGCAAGGAGAAGACTCCAGAAAGCAGAACTAAGATGAGAGTCTTGAATTCACAGGGAGGCTAGTTTCAAGGCCAGTATAAGGAAACACTTTCTAATCCTTTGAGCTCTCCAAATAATTAGAGTGATCCAAAACAGGACTGCGCTATCTCTGGAGACAGAGAGCCCTGGGGAGCCTTCACACAAAGCAGAATAACCCATCCTAGGGGACGTTATGGAGGAAATTCAGTCCTGGGCGGAGGTGAGGACAATATGACGTGGGCTACACAGTTCCTTATAAACTAGAGATTCCTTGGTCGTCTCATTTACTCTGACAGAAACTTGATTTATGCCTGGTGTGGGGGTAGAATCACCTGAGGACAGAAAGCCAAAGCTTACCTGCAATAACGGCACTGGTCGTAAAAAAAACATGGTTGACCGGCACCACCATCGTCGTAGCATAGAGTTTCGTGGCTTGATTCAGGAACCTAGAGCAGGAGGCACTTACTGAAGCCCTGGCTTTAAGAGACGCTCAGCAATAAGTTAACAATAACATCAAGAAATGCATGTCCTTAAGCTACAAACTACAAAGGGAGAGGAAGTGCAGTAAAAGGGCATTTTCAATCAGCAGTCATTGCTTATATGCATCTGATGTATGAGATCAGATGTCAGGTTTTATGGTCTGTTTAAACCAACAACAGTAACAATGAAAAGCAATTAATCATATTCTGAGGCCACAGAAGTTTGAGTTGGAAGCGATTCAAGCTGCTGGACCAGTATCACACTGGAGCTGATTCATTAGGATAGACCCTAGAATCTGTTAAATAGCATATCTGGGGAATAGTATAGCTATCCATTGACATGCCACGTGCCAAGAAAGAAGATGGAGAAGCGAAGGAATGTTTAGCGTTTGGAAAACAATGCTCAGGACGCCAGCTGCAGAGCACATGTGGGAGCTCAGCGTCTCACTCTGGCCACCAGCGTGGTTCCAGCCCCGCCAAAGACGATGCACTGCCCTGTCACTGACACCAGCTGGACAATTAAAAAAAAAATGCTTAGGTCCTATTCTAGCACAAGTGAAAAAAAAGGTTCTGTGGGTAGAGCCCAGGTGTGCCCATGTGCACACACGTACGTACGTATACGTGTGCGGCTGTGTACATATATGTACGTATCTGTGAACAAACACATATCCTCAGGCGGTTTCACTGGGTGGCCAGTCCTACGGTTCTAGTGCGTTCACCGTAGCTCCAGGGTGGCAGAGGCAGGGACTAGAACAAGGGGGATGGGAAAATGCAGGGTACCTTCAGTTCTACCTGCCACTGAAATCCACAGAGCGGAGTTGAAAGGTAACAATGCTCGTCTTGAAACTCCAAAAGATATTCTAGCAGTGCTGATGAACTCAGAAGAAGAAAGGGAGATGAAACAAAGTAGAGAGAGCCAAGCCTGAGAAACACACTCATTCTCATAAGGAAATGACAAGTGAAACAGTGACCAAGCATTGGGGTTCTCCAGTCATTGTCCACATTCCATTTGCAACAGGGCCCATGTCCGACCCGCAGCTATTAGACTTGACTGCCAGCGCCTGCGGAGGGGAGCGCTCTCTTCCTGAGTGTAGGCTCTGATTTCCCAGCTGACACTGGGATGGTGCTTTTGCACAGCATTTTGGGATAAACAGAAAACTTCCTGGCTGACTAAAGACAGCCTCGCAGGCAAAGGCATAATCACGATGTGAAATGGAGGGGAAGTGACTGGAGCAGATGGAGGTGGGGGAAGAGAAAAACAGAAATTTAAAATGTTCCATGTCACCACCATTAGGCCCCCAGAGAAACATAAAACAATCATTCCGCCATCCCAGGGGTACAAAGAAAATTCTGGCCAATGACGCAAAGTTCTGGGGAAAGGATTTCCCTCCCGGCCAAACGTCTGGTTTTGTCCATCCCTGGGCAATTAATGAGCATGAGCTAAGGATGAAGGTGAAAGGTTCATGTATTTCCTATATTTAGAATGAAATCCTGGATGTGGACCTGCCCCTTTGATTTATTGCTAATGACAACCTGCGTACGATGGATATTAATTACAAGCAGAAGAGCATCAGGAAAGTATCAAAGTGCACTTAGCTAGATTACGGCCATACTTTAGAACTCACAAGACATGAAGGCAATGCTCAGTAAAAAAAAAAAAAAAAAACAACTTATTATTGGACACGAAGGATAAAGCGAGGCATGCTGGCTGAGGATAAGCTGTAGACCCTTCACCCTTAGAAATCAGTTGCACCTCATTTTAATTATCAACAGATGCCAATAAAGATTAATGCTCAGAGAAGCACAGGAATGTTGAAAGATGAGTGAGTATGCAGAAGCTAACTTACTTGACTTGGAAAACACAAGATGCGATCATGATGATAAACATGATATAGAAGATGGGATAAGTTAGTTGCATTTTATCTGTCACAGAAAAAGTGATCATGCCTGAGACTGCTTTTACCGAGATAACAGTCAGCGAGGCTGAAAAAGAAAACAAGAAACACAAATAAAATACATTGTTGAGATACAATCACAAACAAATATCTCCAGTTTGCACAGTGGCGCCGTCGATAACCCCCGTTATGCTTTCGGAATGCAGGCTCGCATGAGATGGCGGTAGGACGGGGTGCCAGACAACCAGTAGTTCTCTCGCCCGAAGCCGCGCTGGACTCTGAATTTGCTTAAATCAGCTAAAGATCTGCTGTGCGACAGGGTGCTTTTTATCTTTGTGGCAAGATGCTTATTTTCCAGCCCCAACTGTTGAAAGGATGCCTCAGAGTCTATAATTACTAGGAGATGGGAGAGCAGAAAACAATGTAGGGGGAGAGAAGAAAAGTCAGACAGTCCATGTGACACGAAGGGGAAAATAACTATTAAACTATACTGAAAAAAATTTAAAGCCAAACAGATGAGCAAACCGGAGTGTGGAAGGCAGCTCACTCTGTGAGTTTACTAAGAGTTGTACTGAGTCTCTGTATGAGCTTTTTTGTTCATAAATGTCTAGAAGTTTCATGAAAAATATATATATATATATTTTTTTTTACAAAGACAGTAATAGGAAGCAGGACCACAGCTGAGTATGCATTTCTAAGAGTCAACCATAAATCTAAGGTTTACATAAGCAATGTCTATTCTCTATATGCTAAAGAGGAACATATCCATAGGAGAACAAATTTTTCATAGGTCCCAAATAGCAATGAAGTGACTTGATAAGGTTATAACATGAAAGCAATGAAGCATTTTCTAGAAGCACCATGTCTCTGTAGGAAGAAAATCATGTTTTCTTTCTGTTTTTGTTCATTTAATGTTGCATATAATTCCATAACTTAGCTGAAACCTACAGAAAGTGAAAAAATAATCTTTACATGAAATCAAATAACTATAATCAAAGGCAATGTGAAGGAGAAACATTATCTTTGGTGCTGTTGGTCATAATATATGTGGGCTTTATCCCTTTTAGCTTTTGAATATTTTAGCTTTCATATATTTTATATGTATATATAAAATCAGTTTAAAATAGCAGCTGGTGGGGGCGCCTGGGTGGCTCAGATGGTTGGGCGTCTGCCTTCGGCTCGGGTCGTGATTCCGGGGTCCTGGGATCGAGTCCTGCATCGGGCTCCCTGCTCCGTGGGAGGCCTGCTTCTCCCTCTGCCTCTTTCTCTCTCTCTATCTCTCATGAATAAATAATTAAAATCTTAAAAAAAAAAAAATAGCAGCTGATGGCTAACCAGGGAAAGCCTCCCATAATCTCCTTTCCAAAAACTGAAAATATACTTTAATTTGAAGAGTACCACGGCACACTTCCAAATTAGACATTTTCTTTCCATTAAGAGTCATAATTAATGGAGAACAGGTGATAAATTCTAAAAACAAACCCCAAATCTGAACAAAGAGGTCCTTACAACCAGGCTTCTCTTCATCTCAAAATGTCTTTTGACCTCATCATTTTACATGTTTTCTACAGATTATGACAATAGTCATACCTTAGCTAACCTAGGAATTTTAAATATCTGCAATGATGTGTGTCACTTGATGGTTTAAGTTTGTAAGGTTAGCTCTTAAGGGACCTTGGTTTCCTCCTCAAAATTTTGCTTGCAATTAGAGCACAATGTGGTTATGGTCTTGTGGTCCGAACAGCCAGGTTTCCCAAAGGGATCATTAATGGGAAGGAGTTGAACACACTGTTCCATTAGCCTCACAACCTTCGGATTGCAAAGGCCCTTCAAGGTCATCTAATGCAACTACCATCTGATGTTAAATTATACTTAAACGCAAAACAAAAGCAAAAGTAGACTTTTTTATTAAACAGCTAAACCAACTATTGGCTTGCTATAGTTAATCACTGTATTTTCAAAGCATGTACAATCATCAACTGATTAATCACTCTTGTAACTCCGCAAGTTACTTCTAGGCTGGTGACAAGTATTTCCATTTTATTTTTGGGTGGGCGTGTGGTTAATGAAGACAGGTGAAAATACAAAATTTAACGCAGTATCATTCTAATATATATATATATAAATATATTTATGTATCTTCTCTTTTTATATACAGAAAAAAAGTCTAGGAAAAATGCTAGAAGAAACTACATCAAGATGCTATCAGTGGTTATCTCTAGGCACTGGGATTATGAATAATCTTTAAACTCATTTTTTTTAAGCTATAAAAGTTTACATGTTCCTTTAAGAAAATTGGGAAAAATGCAGAAAAGCCTGGAAAGAAAAATGAAAATCACCTGTAATCTCAACACTCATCCCCAAATCATTTTTAACTGGGAATATTTCTTTGTAGCTATTTTTCTGTCTCTAAGTATGAATATATTGTAACATATGAATCATACAGTATATACTATTTAGGAACCTATTTTCAATTGCCATTAAGTATTTTCTATGCCATTAAATATTCTTCTAAAGCATGATTTTCATCAGCTGGGGAATATGCCTTTGCATCAGTGTATACTTTATCTTGGCAATTCCCTATTTTTGCATACTTAGGTTGCATCTTTTTTTTTTTTTTTTGGTATTAAAAATGAGGCTGTGATGAATATTCCTGAACACAAATCTTTGCAACTCTGCCAATTGCCCTAGGAAAATCACCTAAAGGGGACTTTGTTAACAGCTGCTGTTCTTCTGAAATACACTGGCAAGCCGCCTTCTATAGAGTACCAGTCACACTCCCATAATACTGTACAGCAGTGCTCAGTTACATGGATTTTTATATTTTTCTTGATGAATCTCTTTTCTTAATTCTCAACAGTAGACATTAGAGCAAACCATTTTTACCGGACATAGCTGACCTGTGTTTGAAATCTGGCCTTCTCAGTTCCCTCCTACTTCATCAATTGTTCCTTCCAGAGACTTTCCCAAATTGCCATCAATGTCTCCTTATTAGAGCCATCAATATTTCATTTATTAATTTGGCTTCTCTAATCTGAGCATGCAGAGCAGAGAGAAGGACCTCCTAGCTTTCCAGCTTCCTGATCAGCTGAGCATTCTGCTGGGAGTCTTAAGACTCCTTTAAGAAAGAAGACTGCAAGGGCGCCTGGATGGCTCAGTCATTAAGTGTCTGCCTTCAGCTCAGGTCATGATCTCAGGGTCCTGGGATCGAGCCCCGTATTGGGCTCCCTGCTTGGCAGGAGGCCTGCTTCTCCCTTTCCCACTCCCCCTGCTTGTGTTCCCTCTTTCACTGTGTATCTCTGTCAAATAAATAAATAAAATCTTAAAAAAAAAAAAGAAAAAGAAAGAAGATTGCAGGCACAAGCATGGGGCACCACCCACCAAGATCTCTTTCTTCCCAACTTTACTTTGTTTTCTTTTTTAGTTCATTTTTTAATCTGTCACACAAACAATATTATGTTAATAAAGTAAAAGAAAAATCCACCTGCCTACTGCCTCTCATTCATTTCCAGTGTATGCCTCATGCGTGCTTTTTTTTTTAAATTTTACTTTATTTTATTATGTTATGTTAGTCACCACACAATACATCATTAGTTTTTGATGTAGTGTTCCATGATTCCTTATTTTCGTATAACACCCAGTGCTCCATGCAGAACGTGCCCTCCTTAATACCCATGCGTGCTTTTAATCACCGCGAAGGCAGGTATAATATTGTGTGCTACTCTTTCATTTAACCTGACACTATACATATTTTTCAAAGCTGCTACATGATTTTCACAATCATTTTTTCTTGTAAAAGTCATTACTGATCATTGTAAAATGCCCAGCCAGCACAGGTAAGTATAAAGTGAAGAGTGGGTATCTTTTTCCATTTTTTTACTGTAGTGAGAACACTTCTGGTTTTCACCAATGGGTGTGCTCCAGCTTTGGGGTTAAGAGAAATATGTTCTCGGGGTGCCTGGGTGGCTCAGTCGTTAAGCGTCTGCCTTCGGCTCAGGTCATGATCTCAGGGTCCTGGGATCGAGCCCCGCATGGGGCTCCCTGCTCGGCGGGAAGCCTGCTTCTCCCTCTCCCACTCCCCCTGCTTGTGTTCCCTCTCTCACTGTGTCTCTCTGTCAAATAAATAAAATCTTAAAAAAAGAGAGAGAGAAATACGTTCTTCCAATGCCATAGAGACAGAGAATAGAATGGTGGTTGTCAGGGGCTGGGGATAGGGGCAGATGGGGTGATGTAGGTGAAAGGGTCCAAATGTTTAGTTTAAGAAGAGCTAAGTTCTGAGGATCTAAGACACAGCATGGTGACTACAGTTAATAACGCGGTACTGTGTACTCCAAGGTTGCTGAGAGATCCTAAGCTTTCTCACTGCACACACACAAAACAGTGAACTACATTAACCATACGAGGTGATAAATATGTTCATTATATCTTGAGCTCGGTAATCACTCTACAATGTATATGCATATCAAATTATCGTGTTGTGTACTTTAGATATATACGCTATATGTGTTAATTATTTCCCAATAGTGAAAATTATTAAAAAGAGAGAAATATGTTGTTAACACACAGATATTTCTATTCCGATTGCATTTCAAATTCTTTATTAGGAATGGATATTAAACTTTAACATGTCTTTCCAGCATCGATTTACATGATATTTCCCTTCTGAGTCATTAACATGATGAACTATGTTAATGGATTTCTTAAAGAACCATCCTTTCATTCCCATAATTAATTTAGTTAATTCAAAATGTATACTTTGCACTCACTGTCCTCAGTTCTAGGTAATTATATACCGTGTCACTAGAACAGACATGACTGCGTCCTCATAGAACTAATCGGGTGGGGGAGATGAGTTCATACCAGAATATAAGTATATGAGTAAACTATGCAAGTACAAATTATTATAAGTGTTACAAAGAAAAAAGAACCAGTTTCATTAAGACCACTTGGTCTTAAATGAAGAATGATTTTTTTTTTCTGGATTCTACCTACCTCTTTTTATTAGAGACTTTTACAGTAATATTCAGTAGTGAAATTAGTTCATGGTATTCTTTATGTGTGGTGTTTGGGATCAGTATTTATACTGATTATGTTAAAAAAAAAAAGGCGAAAGCTTTCTTCTTATGTCCTCAAATAGTTTGAACAACATCAGAATAATCTGTTTCTTAAAGATTTAAAGGCATTAGTGTCTAGGTTGAAAGTAAAAGTATATAGTCCTGGTTCTTTTCAGGATGTAGCTTCTATTTCCTCCATAGTTATTTTCCTTTATTTAACCAAGTTTTCATATTTGTTTTCAATTTTATTTCTAATTTTGGGTATTTGAGATTTTTTTTTTTTTTTTTTTGTCTTATGGAGGATCTATTGTAATGTCTTTAAGCATAGAGTCTTGGGTTTATTTATCAATCCATTGCTTTTCTATTCTCTATTTCATTAATTTTTACCTTTATTAATTGCTCCTTTCTGCTCACCTCAGCTTTATTTCAGTGTTTTTCTTCCCTAACTTTTTGAGTGGAATGCTTGACTTACATTTAAAGTAATGAATTTCCTTCTGAATACAGCATTAGTCATCAACTATAGGTTTAATAGTAAGTGTTTTCATAATAATTTAAAAAATATATGCTGTAATGAAATCTTGGTTTCCACTTGGGCCCAGCTCCAGTTTAAGAGTAGTGTTAACATTTCCAGATGTTACGGTTTTACTCGTTTCTATTTTTGTTATTATTTTCTGTTTTTCTTTCACTGTGATCTGAGAATGTGGTCTGTACTATTTCAACTTCCTGGACTTTATCAAGGATTTCTTTGCGGCCAATTACACGATTAACTTCTGTAAATGTCACACAGGCACTTGAAAGCAGGTGTATGGTCTGCTTTCAGGATTTAGAGTTCAACATTAGATCAAAATTAAGGACTCATTCCTCTATCCTTACATATCTTTCTGTCTACCTACCTTCCATGAGCTAAGAGAAGTTTCTACTCCTCTCACATTTCTGTTAATGTAGTTTTCAAAAGAGCTGCTGTCCGAGTCTCCTGAGGCCTCCTGGCCTTGGTGTCTCCCCCTCCCACCCCCCAGGCCCACCCTGCTGAGCAGCTAAATACTAATGTGGGGCTTCCAGGAGCCTCTGTTGCATCTAATGCTTCCACCTTGATTTTAACTTAGATAGTAATAGTATGGCCTTCTGCTTTCTTTTACTTTCAAACAGAGTTACTTTGTTTTAGATGACATTTATTTACGTATGAAGCCAAAGTATTTCACAACCAGCAAGGGCCAGTTAGAAAGGGCACTATGTCTACAACTCTCATAGATCTGAACCAGAGAACACTGGCTGAATCCAATTTCAGGATCTTTCAAAATCAGGCTGGGAATTTTTCTGAAGTCCAATTTGGGAATCTTTCTTTATTACCAGGTAAATTTACCCCATTTACATTTACGATCATAACTGATGTGTATGATCTTAATACTGTTATCTTACTTTCCTATTTAAAATTTCCTTTGTTTTCAATATTTTCCTATATACTTCACATTTTGTCTCTCGGTTGTTTGCTTTTGTTCTCCCTATCTGGTAATTTGGAAAGGAACAAATATAAAGTTCTTTTTCTGTTCTTTTGATCAATAGCATACCTGAACATAGTATAAATTTGTTTCTATAAGTAACTACCACAAATACAAATCTTCCAATTTAAAGGAGAGAATTGGGTCGTGAAATGAAAAAAAATGAAAGCTCCAGCCTTCCTTAACATGAGCGCTGCCTGTCCCACTGGTGTAAGTATAACCTACAGAGTCCTAGCAAACAACACCTGATGTATGGATCATCTTATCTGCAAAGAGGCAAAAGAAGCATTATAAATAAATATTTTAAAAGGCAATTTTTCCAAATGATTAGTGAGAGCTCCTAGTGTTGATTTAAATGAGAGAGAGAGAGAGAGAGAGAGAGAGAGTGTGTGTGTGTGTATATGAGAAAGAGGAGGAGAGAGGGTAGATTTTAAAAATATATATAGTGGGCTTATAGAAGCAACACTTTTCAAATTTTATAAGGTGACTCTGGAAACAAAAGGAGATGGGTGGGTCAACAATGAATGAAAGAAATGTATTTAAGAAAATCATACTGCTTACATTTACGTTTCTTATTAGCCACATTTCATTAAAGTTTTTTAAAACATGTAAACAAGATCGGTCTTGGTAAGTAATTCCTGATACAAAAGTTTCAGTTGGGATCATTCATTTGTTCCTCTTTTAATAATTTTCAATTATGTACTAAGAAAGACAATCCTCAAATTGTCAGACAGCAAATAAAATTACCAAGAAGTAAAAACCCTTACATATGTTTTTAAAAGAATTAAACATACCAATTGTAGCCATGGACACGCAAAATATAATTTGTGTAATTGAGACTGGGTTTATTACTACAGATCAGAGTTGAAAAGTAGAAATGACGAGAAAGGAATCGAATGAATGCTCAAGAGCCTCCTTCCAATCTCTTTCCTGACTTCGCACGGCTAGATTAGAGAATTAGGAAACAAAGCGTGTCCTTACCGAGAAGTGCCACCAGGGTTAACAGTATCACCATGTGCTTCATTCCCTTTCTCTTATGGAAATATAGCAGAGTGCAGAAAATTAATATTTCTAAAATCTAGAAATGAAAAAGATGAAAAAGAGTAAACTATAAATTATTTTATACAAAGTCTTCAGAATGCCACACTTCCCTTTCTGATTTTGCAACAGTTTTCCTATGAGAGCTGAGGGTGACTGGTGTTCCTAAGATAATTATAAACATATGAGAACAATATAAGGAGCCTTAGGCATCCAGACCCAGAGCTCTAACCTCACCTATATGCCAAAGACCCTGAGATGGGCAACTCCAGTCTCATTTATCCAACGATCTTCTAGGCATCTCCACATGCACGTTTAATAGCCATATCCCCAAAATATGGGCAATGCTAAACTCCTGAGTGCCTTCCTTGCCTACCTATCCCTCCTGGGGCCTTCACCCCCCAATGAATGGCATCAATACATACCTCATTGCATCAGCTGGTAACTCCTTCCTTTCCCCCACTCCCTGACACCTTCTCTCTAACCCCTGCAATAGCTTCCAATTTGTCTCTGATTCGACTCTTGCCTCTACAATCCAGCCATTCAGCAGCCAGAGGAATCATTTCAAAGCACAACTTGAATAATGACATATGTTATTTGTAGAGAACATATATGATACACACATAAGGTATTTACATAATATGACAAGCAGTCGCGTGCCCTGCACCCAGCCAGAGAGAGAGAACCTGCCAAGACCTCTGAAGTCTCTTGTGCACCACTCCCCAATTGTACTCCGCTCCTCCTAGGATCTCCCCAGCAACCACTACAATGAATTTTTGTGTTTACTATTTACTTTCTTTATAGTTTACTACCTTTTATGTATCCTCAAACAGCACCCTGTTTATTTTTGCATATGTTTGGACTTTATACATGCAGAATCATACTTGTTTTCACTTCCTGGTTTTTGCATATGTTTGGACTTTATACACCTGAGCCAGCCACAGATGGCCTCCCCCACAGTTCTCTGCAAAGCTCAGATGGCTCCCGCCTTTGGGCCTTTGCCCTAACTACTGGAGTTGCCTGGAATATTCCTTCCCCCATCTCCCTACAATGGCTTCTTCCAATCACTCAAATTTCAGCTTGAAGATCACCTCCTCCGAGACATCTTCTCTGACCACTCTGATCCAGCAGAGCCACCCCTTGTCTACTGTAGAGAGTTTTATCATCATCTGGACTATTTCCTGTTCATGCTTTTATGGGTTTCTTTTCTGTCTCCCTGACTAGCACATGAATGAGAACAGGGACCTTATCTGTCCTCTTCGCTACTGTCTTCAGTGCCTGGGCACTGTCGGTCACTCAATCCATATTTATGGAATTAATGAATAAATGACACCTCAAATTTATTACGAGCAACTTGCCAAAAACCAGACCTAATGTCTAAAAAATTGAGTGTTCAATAAATATTAATTGACCGAATGTCTAAAATTTTCCTACCCTTAAGAAAACGGGAACGTAATTTTGAGTTCTCAATTTTATTTTTGTTTTAACATTGTTTCTTTTTTGAAGTCCTTCAGATAACCTGAAGCAAAGCTATTTTTTTTTCAAGGAGGCAGTATCCCTGGATTGAAATCATAAATATGAATGTTTACTTCTCTGACGTCAGACATGTAAAAACACCACCACTAATTTTTTTTCTTAAAAATTACTAGAGTTAGGGACTTCACTACATTCAGGCCTGCATTTTACTTATGGAGCCCTCCTCTAAATCAACATGAATCTCTGCTGTTTCAGTTCAAGGTCTGCTTGTTTTTTACCCCTTTAATTCTCTGTGGGCATGGAAAGCAGCAGGACCATATCTTCCTCATTAAAAAACCTTTCATCTCATATGGAAGATTAAGTCATCCCTCAGTCTTTTCCTGGTTAATTAAACTAATTACTTTAACTTTTTCTTATAGGACTTATTTGCCAGGCCTTTAATTTAATCAAGTCGTGCTACAAAAGCTATTAAACTCCTATCACTTTGCCTTCCCCAAAGCTGCCATCAAAACGTTGGGTGTCCCAATGTCTGTACGGATCTTCAATTGTTAACAGAAATATCCCTGCCGGCTTTGTCCCCGCTTCAACCACAGGCTTCCATTTCTCACATGATACAATTACAAATGACTCACAGCAGCGTTTGGGACCCCTGTATTCGTTGCTGGAGACAAGGAGGTTCTTCCTGCACTAAATGCACAGAGCGTGTTAGCTAAATCTATTAGCAAGAGGATGATTACTTTTGGGAGCGGATGGGGGAAAATGAGGGGAGTTATCAGTTCTAAATATCACATATGACTTTTTTCCAAATTCCATCTCTGTGGCTCCAGATAAATAAAACATGAGCTCCTCTGACTCAGAATGACTGTAGTCGCCCTATGTTCTGTCTTGTGGCAAGAGGTCATAGAGCTCCCAGGAATAAAATATTCAAGCAGCACAAATTCATGTTGGTTTTTTTTTTCCTAGCAACATTTTCTTCCTCTCTGAAAATAACAATATTAAAGCAGCTGTGATTTCTACAGGTTGCTGAGACCCAGGAAGAGGCTGCTTTGCTGACTGCTACCTCAGAGGTCAGAAATAATAACAGCACTTACCGAAGGCTTACTAAATGCTATTCTTGCACTAATTCATGGAATCCTCACAACAACCTTAGGAGGTAGGCACTATTATCCCCATTTGACAGATGAGGAAACCAAGGCTCAGAGGGGTTAAGTGATATACATCTGGTAGGCAGAATAATGGCCTTCCAAAGATGCCCATGTTCTAATCTCTGTAACTTGTGTGTATGTTACTTTACATGGCAAAGGGGCTTTGGAGATGTGATTAAGGCTATGGACCTTGAGATGGGGAGATTATCTTGGATTATCCAAGTGGGTTTGAAGTAATTGTATGAGTCCTAAAAAGCAGAGAACCTTCCCAGGCCTGGTCAGAGAGAGATGTAATGTGAGAAAGAACAGAGTCAAGGAATTCTGGTGGCATTCTTAGCAGCTGGGAAAGGCAAGGAAACGGCTTCTCCTCCAGAGGCACTAGCAAGGAATATGGCCCTGCCAGTACCTTGATTTTAGTCCAGTGAGACCCGTGTTGGACTTCTGACCTTCAAAACTGTAAGATAAGAAGTCTGTATTGTTTTAAGACACTAAGCTGGTGACAATTTGTTACAGAAGTAATAGGAAACTAACCTAGGTTTTGGTATCTGAAGTCTTTCCAGGGGAACCAACGTTCCATGCTCATGGATTGGAAGAACAAATATTGTGAAGATGTCAATGCTACCTAGAGCAATCTACACATTTAATGCAATCCCTACCAAAATACCATCCACTTTTTTCAAAGAAATGGAACAAATAATCCTAAAATTTGTATGGAACCAGAAAAGACCCCACATAGCCAGCGGAATGTTGAAAAAGAAAAGCAAAGCTGGCAGCATCACAATTCCGGACTTCCAGCTCTATTACAAAGCTGCCATCATCAAGACAGTATGGTACTGGCACAAAAACAGACACATAGACCAATGGAACAGAACAGAGAGCCCAGAAATGGACCCTCAAATCTATGGTCAACTCATCTTTGACAAAGCAGGAAAGAATGTCCAGTGGAACAAAGATAGTCTCTTCAACAAATGGTGTTGGGAAAATTGGATAGCCACATGCAGAAGAATGAAACTGGACCATTACACCACACACAAAAATAGACTCAAAATGGATGAAAGACCTAAATGTGAGACAGGAGTCCTTCAAAATCCGAGAGAAGAACACAGGCAGCAATCTCCTCTACCTCAGCCGCAGCAACTTCTTCCTAGATACATCGCCAAAGGCAAGGGAAGCAAGGGCAAAAATGAACTATTGGGACTTCATCAAGATAAAAAGCTTTTGCACAGCAAAGGAAACAGTCAACAAAACCAAAAGACAACTGACAGAATGGGAGAAGATATTTGCAAATGACATATCAGATAAAGGGCTAGTATCCAAAATCTATAAAGAACTGATCAAACTCAACACCCAAAGAACAAATGATCCAATCAAGAAATGGGCAGAAGACATGAACAGATATTTTTCCAAAGAAGACATCCAAATGGCCAACAGACACATGAAAAAGTGCTCAACATTGCTCGGTATCAGGGAAATCCAAATCAAAACCTCAATGAGATACCATCTCACACCAGTCAGAATGGCTAAAATTAATAAGTCAGGAAACAATAGATGTTGGTGAACGCTGTGAATTGTGTAAGACTGATGAATCACAGACCTGTACCTCTGAAACAAATAATACATTATACGTTAAAAAAAAAAAAAAAGAAGAAGATAGTAGGAAGGGAAAAATGAAGGGGGGTGGAATCGGAGGGGGAGACGAACCATGAGAGACTATGGACTCTGAGAAACAAACTGAGGGTTTTAGAGGGGAGGGGGGTAGGGGGATGGGTTAGCCCAGTGATGGGTATTAAGGAATTAAGCAGGGCACGTATTGAAAGGAGCACTGGGTGTTATTCGTAAACAATGAATCATGGAACACTACATCAAAAACTAATGATGTAATGTATGGTGACTAACATAACATAATAAAATTAAAAAAAAAAAAAAAGAATCTTCGGGATGAATTTTCTGAATTGACTCCGGGGTTTTCTGGATTGATTCTCTAATCTAACTAGATTTAAGGGCACTCATCACCCTGCGGAGGTGGGCTGCCTGGTTTTGAATTCTTAGTATTCATGTAACCTCGGACAGGTTACCTACCTCAGTTTCCCCATCTGCTGCAGAGGTAAAGGACAGAACGGACTCAGAGCTCTGCCCAGGGCTCAGCGTGCTCGGTGAGCGGCGGCTGCAGCTACCGCAGAAGTGGGCCCAGTGCAGATGTGCAAGGGCTGTATGCATTCCGACGGCAAAGCAAAGGAACCCCGTGTGATACAGAGTGAAGCCTGAGAAAAACAGCTATTTTTCCCTTCATGTTTTCAACACCTGGTGGGTTTTGAAGTAGCTCTGCCGGTAAGGCTGACTTAATAATTAGCTTAGAATGACCCCAAAAAATAGGGCTCGGCCCCTGCTTCTGCTGATTTAATTTTTTTGTCTGGTGGAGACAAAATGAGCACCATGCAGATTATTTTGTGAAGGATCTTATGTTCACGACAGAAGTTGCCATATGAATGCTCTGTTGGAAAGTCTGGGTGGGCAAAACGGCCACAACCAAGCCTGCCAAAGAACATGAAGTAATTGAGGCTCAGGGCCGAATTTCCTTACGTGGGCTCTGTGGACCGCATTGATAGGCGTTACTCAACCAAAGGTCCTTCGAGAAAAGGACCCCGTGGTCAGCAAGCCTGTTTCCTTCCTAAAGGACCTCTGGCTTTGAACATGCTAACAGAGATGAATTTCTCAGAGAGGGCCATGTTATGCACAAGCTTTCCTCGCAAGTTTAACCTTGAAAATGCACTTGTTTTTTGTGAACAGAGGTTGGGAAAGGCTGTTTTAGTGGGTGAGCAAAGGACATGTCATTCTTCACTGGCCAGTTGATACCAGGCTTCTCAAATCCTCTTCCTACCAAAAAGAGAACCAGCTCAGGGGACAGGCTCCTGGGCCTTGTTTCTGAGGCCTCCACCTTGTGTAAGCCTTAAGGGTAACCTGGACATCCACCCGGTACAGGTAAACCCACGAGACAAGGAGATGCTATCAGCTTCCTGGGATACGATTTTACAATCCCCTTTTGAGAAATGTGAAACTTATCCAGACAAAAATATTTTTATTCATTGTATTAGTTATTTGATCAGTCCTGAAAAGCATTTCAGGTACTGCATTTATCCTTGGTGTAATCCAAGAACAGCTAGATGAATGATTCTTTAAAGAACAGTCTTAATGGCTGTAATTATGATCTTTGCAGTCATGGTTGGCAGAAAAAGCACAGAAACTGCCACCTCCAAGGATTAAATATTAATTACTTTAATGCTTAACAGATTTAAACCAAACTTCAGCTCAAGATCTTAGCATATAATTGATATCTTTAAATTCCAAACTAAGATAATGCAGATAATTCCCTTTAGAGTCTACAGCCAATAGTGTTATTCAAATGTGACTTTATTAAAGATTTATTTTATACTATCTTATAAATACCTGAAATTAGTTACATTTTTGGGTGACATTTACTTTCAAATATACTTTCATTATTTTATAGGAATATGGGCCTCTCCCAGGACACTAAAATCCCTGTTACAGGAATTCTTCTCTAGACCCTGGGTGTCTAATCAGTTGAATGAACTAGTGAATAAATGAATGAATGAATTTAAGAGTTGACTTTGGAAAGTGGCAAAATGCAAGTAATGTCAGAGTGTTTTTTTGTGGAACTTTAAGGTTTAATAAAAAGTAGTTTTGTTCTTTTCAATGTTTCCTCTGGTGTTAAAACAATATAAGATATGTCATCGTCAAACAATGCTGTTTATTCCAGGTAATTAAGTCTTGATGCAACTTTAATCTCCAAAGGATTCAACTCTGGCTATTCATTTTCTGGTCACAGACTGTGTGACCCCTTTCCTACTGGATGAAGAATTTGTTTTGCCTGTAGGCAAAGAATAATAATATGGTGGTAAGACTTCAAGTCTGGGCTACCATGAAACACTAGGTAAATCCTTCTAGAGCCTTGGATTTGATTGATGAACTCTGTTAAAGGGTTGGGTCTGGTGGATAAGCAGGAGGATTACAATGGGGCAGAGGAAGCACAAAGTACGACAGGCCTGAGGAAGGCTAATCTGAGCTGGAAAGTCCAATCCTAAAGGTTGATGGAGAGCAGGAGGAAGGGGGGCGTTCCAATACAAGAAAGAAGAGAGTTCAGGGGAGAAGATATTAAGTTCAGTTTTTGAGATGATACATTTGAGGAACCTATGAGACATCCAGGCAGGGATGAATAATAAGTGGACCGATGAGAACACAGATCTGCAACTCAGAAGAGGCCTGGGAAAGAGATGTAGGTCTGGATTTACAAGTCTTCCTATAGGATGATGGGGGTTGGCAATGAGATCACCCTAGAAAACTATGGAAGAGTATGTACCTGAATAGATAAAGAGTGGTTGGCACAAGAGAAGGAGGTACCCACCAAGAGAATGGGATGGACGGTCAGAGAGGAAGAGGAGAAACAGGGAAAACAAAATGAGGAAACCAGGAAAGAGAGGGGCTCAAGGAAATGATGGGTCACTAGTAAATGCTGCACAAGGTTCAAGAAGCAGCAGGACCAAAAAAGCAATTCCGCTTGGCAATTCGTGGGTGCGGAGGGAATCTACCAGATTAAAATGAGTGAGGAGTGACTAGGAGCTGGGAAAGTAGAGGAGAGAGTGGAGTGGGGGGAAAACAGGACAGTTTATGACAGAGTGTGTAAGGATGAGGAGATTTTTTTTTTTTTTAAAGCAGAGAAACCTGAGTATCTTTGTTGAGTAAGAAAATAGCATAGTGGGAGGCTACGAAGAGAAAATACTGTAAGCATTTGTGCTCCAGGGGTCAGAATTTTATGTCAGAGACAGCAAGATACATAGAATTCCTATCACACGGACTAAGGACGGTCAGATAATAATGTAGGACCATGTAGTCTCCACTGTGAGCAAATCTCACCAAAAAACATGTCCCTACAAATGCCAATGTCACACTTGAATAATAGGTGTATGAAGTAGGGTCATACTAGCTTATCTGTTACAGTGGCAGAGGACTAGACCAGATAGCTTTTTGAAGTCACTTCTAATCCTAAAGATGTATGATTCTCTGTGCTTTGATTCTTTTTGTTGAATTCACAATTATTTTACTAATACAGTTCTTGGTTAAATGCTCATGACCTCTATCCCAGTTTTCTTACCACCTGCCCTTCCTGGAATATGTTGATTCTGCAACCTAAACCAACTTCTGTAACAAGTTACATACCAACTGTCTCCAGCACATTCGATAGTCACTGAATCAAATAAAATATCCCAATTAGTGCCTTCAAATTTCTACATCAGCTCATTCCATTCTTTTTTTCTTTTTTTACACATCTCCCAATATTACCCTACTGCTGTCTACTTCTCCCCAGACAGTCTGCTGCATTCGTCTCAAAGAATACTTTTTTGAAGAAAATATCTATCTCGAATAAAAGTCGATGAAGTTAAATGTGTCTTCAGGCATTTCCCTTTGACCTAGGAAGAGAGGTTTTTTGGGTTTGTTTTTTACTTTGAGTTGTCCTACAACATGTTGCTTTGGAATTTGCTGGACTAAATATTGTGGAAATTGTTCCAGTGACAAGTCACCCCCAAGAATAGGATACTCAGGAAATTGGGGGTGTTCTATCGTTGATTTAGTGTTTCAAATACCTTGGCCTTGGTCAAATATATTTACAATTTAATGAGATATTAATGCTGAGAAGAAAAGACTTTATTCATTCTCTAACATCTGCATGTACCAATGGTCTAGATAATAGAACTTCTGGTAGAGTAAAATGTTTAAGATTCTTACCACATAGATCAGGAACTGCCAGCCAACAAAGTAATACTGTACCATTCTTGCAGAGATAGACTGACTTCTATTTGGAGCAAAGTTCACCAATAAGTATGTTCCCGCAAATGCCAATGTCATACCTTTAAATAAAATTGAAAAGACAAACCAAGTTGAAAAGGGATATTTAAGCCTTTTTGTCAATTCAAATATTACCTATAGAATGAGCATTACTTATAAAAGTGCCTTTAGTCCCTCCCTATTAAAATATGATTCATCAAACCATCCCTAGATAGCATCATGCATTCACTTGATGGCATTATCTTTAAAACGGGGGATAAGGGCCAGGGAAAGGGTGTGGTCGGACCTAACTTCTGATTTTTCTTTTTTGTTCCAGATGAATCCTTGCCTCTTCAGAAAACCTTTCCCCAAAGATGGGAAAGATCAGAACACATGCATTTGGACACATGAAAACATATCCAAGCTGGCTGTTTATTTCTATGTGGACCAGTAAGTACACGATAGATCTAGATCCATCAGAGCCCAGAGAGTGGAGAAGTCTATCACCTGATGATGACCTGATGATCTACTCTGTACTTATTCATCTTTGAAGCCTTTACACACACACACACACGATTTTACACTTTGAAACTCTGGTAAAAGAGCACCTTAATCATTGCCATGTATTGGAGTCCTTTTAGCAGAAATAACAAAGGTGAATGCTGACTTTGCTATAAGATTTATTTACTCCCATTCAGAATCTAGAATTCTAGGGCCAACTTAGTAAAATATCCACATTTTAAGCATAAGTAAGGAATGTGTTACTGTCATCCCTTTAACAGTATTTAAAATAATAGAGGAAAGAAATGTGTATGGGAAGCGGGTCTATGTAAGGGGGAGTAAAGGGAGGCCTTGACATTCCAAATAACACTGAAAACTGCTTATTTATTAACAATCAGTAGAGAAAAATTGATACAGGTAGCATTTTTCAGATAGCACCCTTGAAAACATAATTCAACTTGTTTCATCACTAAGGTCAGCACTGTTGTGTATATAATTTACAACCAGCACTGACTCTAACCTGAAGCAGTTTGGCTCGTCTATAAAATCTCACAATTGGAAGACACCAATTTCCTGTTCCTCTTAACCAAATGATTTAGGGTTTTGAACTTTTGTTTCTGAAAACAAACAGCATTTGACTTTTCACACAAGCTAGACGATAGCTATTTGAGGTATTGTAGAAGCTATAAAATAAGCTTCCTCTAATGTTAAGAGCTTACTCAGTAATACTTTGTGAAGGCAGAAATTATATACAAAATTTCAAAAGCTATTTCTAATGAGAGTTTTAAAAATAAATAAAACTATATATATTATTAAGCATTGCGATAAAAGGAAAATAATAAAAATTACAAGTACCTAAGAAACCTGGGCAAAATTATTGTGGTCAGCCCCACCCTTTCTTTGGAAAAGAAAAAAAGATCTTGTAATTGTTCAATATTAGGTTCCTAGGAGGATGGGCTTCTAAAAAAAAAAACCAGTCTTCTAAACTTGGTATAGTGCAGTAGAATAAATGCATTGAATACAACTTAAAAACCGCAGAGACTTCCAGCTTTCTTTTGTGAAATCCAAATTTCTTATTTTTATTGAGTTCCTCTGCCAGTAATTTTTTTTTTATCTCCACTAGCTGTATCTAGTGTGATTACATTTCTTTATTTTTAAATTTAGTTTTGATTGGGTAACACATGCATATGTAAAAAATTCAAAAGACACACAAGGGTGGTGAGTGAAAAGTTAAATCTCTCGTACACCCTTCTGGCCCACTAGTTCCCCTCCTGGCAGTAAACACTGCCACCAACTCTTCGATTTCCCTTTTCAGAGGTGTTTTATGCAGGTGTGTGAGAGAGTGCATGCGTTTGAGTTTTCTACACAAACAGTAGCATATTATATACACTTTTCTGTACCTTGCTTTTGTTCTATTTAACAGAACATCTTGGAGAACATTTCACATCAGTGTATATAGGGCAGCCTCATTCTTTTTAAGTCTGCATAATGTCCCATTCTCTGGAGGGAGTGTTATTTAACTTAACTTTCCAACAGGGTCCCTGTTTCCCATCTGCTTCCACATTTGCATACTGAGCCCATTTCTACAAATGTAGATCTTCACTGCATTTCAAAACTCCTTGAAAACAAATAAAATGACTCATGATTTTGCAATTATACTTTCAAAGTACTTCTGCACATGTATTATGTCACTTGAGCCCCATGTCACTGTGGATCTAGTTAATGACTCTAGGGCAGCTCAGTAGGTCACACATCGTTTCTTCTTAATAATTTTAATTTCCACTTCCTCTGACAATTACAAAGGTAGTTCTAAATAGCTGCTGTTACACGTTTGTTTACTGGGTGTCATTTGTATTTGTCTGTGTGACTCACGGTCTCCTTTACGGATCATGTGCACGTGTTTCCTAAGTGTTTAGAAGTGTTGAAGATACTCATTAGCAGCTCCTTATATAAATTTCCTTAAAATGTATTTATATTCCTTATTTTTCTAAAAGTGGCATTTAGATCCACAAATATTCTTTCATTAGAAAGACACAGATTTCTACATTAGAAAACTGGCTAGTTTAACTGCCACTGGTCCATTTGCCCAAGGGAGTAATCTGGACGCGTAAGATACTCAAGGAAGGGAAGCCACACTTGGTCTGCTCTTTGCCCACGGAAATGATTAAATTCCAGGTCAATACTTGGATCGTGAAAGTCTAAACCACACTGAAACTGCCCCCACAGAATTCAAATTTCACTGCTATTTGCCGGCTGGAAAAGCTTAAGCATGTTACTTCTCCCTCTGTGACTTAGTCTTCGCATCTCTAGGTACAAACTAACTTATCACACCTGCTAGACTCCAGGAATTTGGCTGGACAAGAAGCCAATCTAGGGAACCGAATAGATTTGACAGCTCATCTGGAGGCCTGACGTGACAGGAGAGCCCGGGACACATCTACCTCAGGATACTGACCACTAGGAGTCAAAAGCTATCTCAGTTATGCTTAAAGTTTAATCCAAAATTGGCAGCTCTCTCTGCACATGGGTCCTGTCCCTGTGCTATCATGAAAGCACCTTTTTGCTTGAGGCAAGCCCGAAACAAAAGAGCCAATCTGTTCTCTCAACCAGAAATGATGGTTTGTTTGGCTAGATCAGTATTCTCGATACTGGCCCTCACCCAAGCTGACCATTTGGTGTGGGAAAAGGAAGGAAAGGGATGGTCCTCATGTCACTATTAAGCTCCTGATATTCTATCTGGGGAACCCATTTATAGGTCACTTGAAGTAATCAAGTTACTGGTCTCTGGAGAGTACTGATGAATTGTCTGTATTTTTTTTTTTTAATGATGATATTATCTGGACTTTAGTCAGCTAGGATCTCACAGCCTATTAGATTTAGTACTTTTGATGACTAAGGGAGAAGAGAGGGGAAAGTACTATATAGGTTTTGGCTGATTGAAGAGGAGAGAAATCTGGTGCTTTTTAAAGGAAAAATAATCATTAAAATAATTTAAAGTTATTAATCCACTAAGAATCAGAGCACAGTCCAAAGCCTGTCACTGAGTTAATAATAGTTGGCGATTCCTTTCAGACATAGCTTTTGTGAGGTCATTTTTTTGAGGCTAGTGGTGAAAAGCTTCATAGCCATAGAGCAACATTTGGCAATAAATTAGTTCAGCTTGTTTCCACATGGCCCAAAAATCTTCATTTGTTCCATCATGAAAAACAAACTTTCATTTGCTTGAAGCAGGGAAAAATAAATGATTTTCTTTTGCATATTTTGACAATTTAATTTTTAGCATGCTTATATGGTAATCTTTTTTTTTTTTTTTAAGCCACTAACTACTCTTTTCCATGTTTGGTTTTAGTCCCTGTAAAGAAAAAAACCTGCGTTTTTAGCTCTCAACAGAAAAAGCCCAATTTTCTCAAGGCAATGGCAATACAGACCCAAAGAAAATACATGTGACTTAACACATTACTGAGTGAGTCTGGGGAGAAATCCTTCTCCCCAAGTATGAAGAGGGTTATTGCATGTCAGGTCATGATAACATTGTGACGTTGCTGTTGGAGTCACGGGTATGGAATAGGTGACTCTGTTGTTTCTTCTTCCTACACGGGAGACGATGGACTCTGAGAAACAACCTGAGGGTTCTAGAGGGGAGGGGGTGGGGGGATGGGTCAGCCCGGTGATGGGTATTGAGGAGGGCACATTCTGCATGGAGCACTGGGTGTTACACGCAAACAATGAATCATGGAACACTACATCAAGAACTAATGATGCAATGTATGGTGATTAACATAACAATAAAAAATTTAAAAAAAAGAATCAAGAATTGCATTGGCTGGTCAAAAAAAAAAAAAAAAAAGAATTGATCACTTTTAACTCCAGTGTGAAAAAATGTGACATCAGTTATATAACCCTACCCAAAAAGCATTAAATTAGGAAGGCGAAAATACCCAACTAGAGTTGTGGAAAATGTTAAAGTTTGCAAAAATATCCTAATCAAGGTTTCCTCTGATGAACCACTGGAGTACATGTAGGGGTGGAGGGGGGGTGGTAACGATAATAGCTAACATCAAGTGCTTATTATGTGACAGGCCCTGTGCTAAGAGTTCTGCCTCTATGAACTCATTTAATCCTACAACGTAGGTAATATTATCTTCATTTAAAACGTGAGGAAAATGAGGCTTAAGGAGATTAAGTTACTTTGAAAGGTCACACAGCTCTCTGTCACTAGAGACTCAGCTGGTTGTATCAGGCTGCCACTATTAGAATACTGGTCTACCATTCACTGGTTACAGGACCTTGGGCAAGTTAGTTAACCTCTCTAACTATCAGCTCTGTAAATAGGTTGCTCCTATATTTAAATGAGATAGTTCATATAAAACACTAATGGTACCTGGAAAGAGGAAATATTTAATAAATGTTAGCTGTTCTTAAAATAAGAGGAATTAGCAAAGAATCAAAGAGTTAACAGAGGTTTAATTTATTATTATTATTATTTTTTGGTATGTGTGTGTATATGTGTGCATGTTTCTTATTCCCTGTATTGCATTTTTAGTATTACCTCTCAGGAATGAAGTTGATCACAGAAATGATGACAATTATATTAACAGGGCTTTACATTTTTCTTTTTTTTTTTTATTTAAAGATTTTATTTATTTATTTGAGAGAGAGAGAATGAGAGAGAGCGAGTTCATGAGAGGGGGGGAGGGTCAGAGGGAGAAGCAGACTTCCTGCTGAGCAGGGAGCCCGATGCGGGACTCGATCCCGGGACTCCAGGATCACGACCTGAGCCGAAGGCAGTTGCTTAACCAACTGAGCCACCCAGGCGCCCACATTTTTCAATGTGCTTAAACGAATTATGCAATTTGATCCTTAGAACAGTATTCTATATTTGTCAACAAACTGAGGCTTAGGGAAGTTAAGTAATATTATGTTGGCCACATAGTTGACAGAAAAGGTGGAATTCAAATTCGAACTTATGAGAGTGAGTTTAATTTATATCCTTTGAGTTGAGCTAGTTTCCTGGTTTTAGTAACGTTTTGCTGATCTTGGGATTTCCAAGTATATAATCAAATCATCTGCACACACTGATATTTCTATTTCTTCCTTTTCCATAGTTGTGACTTTATTTTTTTCCTAATCCTATTGGCAGCAGTTGAGTGCAGTATTAAATAGACACTTACCCTGCCTTTTTGTACCTGTGTTACTGCTTCTCGTTTTAATCCCTCTGTATATCATCCTCCAAATCCTTGGAAATGGCCCATGCCTGTCCTATCCGGCCATCAGAACTGAATGGAATGTTACCGCTATAAAAAAGCCTCTCTCGGGGCGCCTGGGTGGCTCAGTTGGTTAAGCGACTGCCTTCAGCTCAGGTCATGATCCTGGAGTCCCTGGATCGAGTCCCGCATCGGGCTCCCTGCTCTGCAGGGAGTCTGCTTCTCCCTCTGACCCTGCTCTCTCTCATTCTCTCTCTCAAATAAATAAATAAAAATCTAAAAAAAAAAAAAAAAAAAAAAGCCTCTCTGAGCTTCTCAGCTAGAGTAACGTCTATTTATTTTACACCAGTGGTTCTCAACTGGGGGTGATTATGTCCCCCAGGGGACATTTGGCAATATGTGAAGTCATTTTTGGTTGCCATAACTAGGGCATGCAGTGCTACGGGCATCTGATGGGTAAAGGCCAGGAGGAATGCCGCTAAACATCAGCAGTGCACAGGACAGCCCCCTGCAATGAAGAACTCTCCAGCCTAAAATGTCAGCAGTGCCGAGGCTGAGAAACCCTGTTCTAAACTAAAGCCTCAAGGCATGAGGACATATATTATTTTCCACTTTAAAAAAACTTATTAATGTATATATTTTATCATTGACTGTATTATTTGAGGGCAGAGATTCCATATTAATCATCTTCTGATTGCAGTGTTCACAATAATTAGCAAGTCTCCCTACACATCCACCTGTATTACCTCATTAAATACCTTAGATTAACTTAAACCTTAATCGACCATTAACTACAAAAGATGGCATATGTTAGATAAAATGATTTAGAGTTTCCTTAAGACATTTGATAAATGAGAAAAATAATATAGGACCTAATTTTTTTTAATTTGTAAAACTCAGGCAAATGTTCATTCTTATTTCTGATTCCATGCATCTTCCCCAAATGATTCCATAAACCATGATATATTTAAAAAGGAGTATTAGAAAAATGATATATTTGAAAAGATACAATGCACATATGAGTACATTTGGAAAAACATTGCAACCATGATGAATTTGATGATGTCAACTAAAAACTCTACTAGCAGAATCAAACCAAGGAGGAAAAAGAAAAAGTGAAAACATGTTCAAGACACTAGGCTCCAGGGAAACACAATCAGGGGGAAAAAATGCTCAACATACCAATACTGGTGTCATATTTAAAGCTCAAATTTTTTTTAAAAAGCTGATATCCTTGGAAGGGAGTAGACATTGCTTTATTTAAAGCACCTAAAGTATCATATTTGTTACCATATGTCAGCAGCAATTCAGAGAGGATTTTGTCAAGGAAGAAAATATGAAGTTCCAGAATTCTTCTCACAAGTGATACTTCCAATAAGAGGTAGAAGATACAATCAAGACAGGATGGCTTTGCTATATAATAGCTATCTTTCTTACAGCCGGGAAGGCTACTGTTACTTGCCACTAATAGCTGTATTTCTAAATAAAATTTTGAAGGGGAACGTTCCATGTTACTTTCAGAAAGAGCTAAATACAAATTAGGTAGTTAATTGGTGCCTCTAATTTTTGTGTGGTTTTCATTTTTATGCAGTACTTTCATGTAACAATCTAACAAATACATCCTTTGAAGTGGAATACTCTATTAGGTAACACAGATGTTTTCTTGGATTTTATTATGCTCATGAAAATTTTATAACATTCATAATAATAATAGTGTAAAGTAATAATTCACTGTGGCTGATAGCATGAGCAGTGGGCACAGTGAAAATTGAAGTATTTCACATGAAAGAGCAGAACGCAGCTCCTAGAAAGAATACTATCCATCTCCAAATGAGATTTATCCATTTCAGTAATTTGTTCCCAGTTTTTAATGCACATATTTTTTTTATGAATACTATTATTTATTTCCTGATCAAGCAGTGCTACAGTTACATGAATTAACCAATGACTTACCTAGTAAATCTGAAGCTCTTAAGTTTTCTTTCAGAAACATAACAGAAATAATGGCACTACCTAGAAAGAAAATGGCCATTAGTGGTGTTCCTCATATAAAAACATATATTATGCGGTGCCATTTGAAAGGAGTTAAGCACTTTGTGTCTTATACCTGGACTAGCTATGTCCTGGTCAGAGACACCCAGTAACTGTGGCTGTGAAAACAACTTTCCCCCCTCACGGTTGAGGATACATAGAAACTGGCCTGGTTTACAGTGGACCGAGGACAGTGGCTGGGATAGTGCCCTGCGAACAGCAAGGGCATAATAAAAGCTTACTAAATAACTAAATGAATAAATGGAAAGAAAGAGAAAGAGAGAGAGGGAGGGAGGGAGGGAGAGAGGGAGGAAGGAAGAGGGGCAGGGAGGGAGGGAGGCAGAAAGAGCAAGAAGGGATGGAAGAAAGAGTGGAAGGAAGGAAGTTTTAACTTTAAATATATCCCAAACCGAAACCATTATTTGCCTTCATCTCCTCCTACAATTCCTATTCTAATGACACCTCTAAGGAGCCCCAGAATCCTAGGACTGCTGCCGTCCCCACTCTGCTTCACACTACACATCCAACAGGATCCCAGGTCTGCTGGGTCTGAGTGTCACCATCTCTCCCGCCCACCCCCTCCAGTCCACTGTCACTGAGCTGCCCAGGCCAGCTTCACCTCAGGCTTAGACCTCAGGCTCCTGCTGCTCACATCTGTTCTTGATCCCTTTTATATTCCATGCCCATCCTTACTCCCTTACTCGAATAATCAGAATTCCCAGAACCACCATCTAGTTTCATTCTAAAGGACTCTTATTTGGGCTATTCCCTTTGCAACTCTGCCTCCATTCTTGTGACCAACTCTGGACTCAAGGATCGCCTCTGGATTCCCCTAGACCCAGTTGACCAAACCACCCTTTTGTGTAATTACCTCCTCTAATACAGCTTTGTTACACTGAAGATTTATTTGCCTGTCTCCCCTCAAAGACTATCAGTTCCTTTGACTCTGAGAGATAGGTCTTATTCTTCTAAGATCTCCCGGGGTTACCTAGCACATAAATAAGAGAGTTTGTGGGATCTCTGCCCTGCATTTGCTGGCCCTCATGCTGTAAGATCCTCTTTCCCATGACTGATGCTACTGAACCCTCAACCTCTAAGCAAGCCATGACCTGCTACTATGGTGTCAGGTTATGTAGGATACATTGAATCTCTTTGAGTTGTTCCTCTTATGGAGCCATTCCTCTATGAGTAGAGGCATGGGGAAATCCAAACTTGCAATAATACAAAATAGTACACAACATAATTTGTATTTAAATTTTTTAAGAGTGGGGAAGGGGCAAAGGAAGAGGGAGAGAGAGAATCTTAAGCAGGCTCCACACCCAGCATGGAGCCGGATGTGGGGCTTATCTCACAACCCTGAGATCATGACCTGAACCAAAGTCAAGAGTCGGATGCTTAACCGACTGAGTCATCCACGTGTCCCCGTATTTTAAATTTTTAACAGAATTTATTAGCCAGGTTTTTATTTTTTAAAGTAAAAATATACAGAAGAAAAGTCAACATAAAAATAACTCATCATCTAGAAAAAACTGCAGTTAATATGTTGGCGTGTTTATTTTACCTTAGCTGAGATAAAACTGTAATGCAAACGCTTTTTTTTCAGTTTCCTTAGTTACCATATTATTAAACTTGCCATGTCATTTAAAATTCTTCTTAGATAAAAATTTTCATGAGTCTGTATAATAATTCATTAAATCAGTTAAATTTGAATATAACTATATCTGGTATTCTGGCAATTGATTTAAAACAAAATAAATCCATAGCAGAAACCCTCATTCAAGATAAGATGGGATTCTCTTATGTTTTCTCCATCTTTTTCTCAACCTGGCTCTCTTTTATTCAAGCTGAGCTATGTCCTTGCAAACTTCTCCTGGGCAGGTAATTTATCCAAATGGACATTTTACACAGAATAAACAGAGCATGGAAAATGTCCACCAACCATGGATTTAATTGGGTGGTGTGGCTTTAAAACACTAAAGGAATGTTTTCTGTACAGACGCATAGCCCATTACGTTAAGAATTGAGTTTGGGACAGGTGTAAAAACGTCTGAAAATTTTCCATTTCATATTTGAACCAAAACAATTCAGGGAAACTAATTTCGTATGTTAGAGCATTAGGAAAGGTATAAAAACCAAGACCCCATTCCCATCCCATCACTGACTCCCTGTGTAATTACATAAGGAATGTTTCCAAGTGGAGAGAGGTAGATCGATAAGAAACAGGTGAAGTATCACTACTAACATATACCAAATGCATTCCATTATAACAGTCCTTGAGAGGACTATTTCACAGCAAAGGAGTCCAGGAAGAAGGGAGACACTGCTTACATGGAATGGGGACATCTTAGAGCTGGTAGGAGATACAAAGACAATGTACTCCAGGTCCTAAACTTCATATTTTGGAGGCAGGTCCAGAGAAGTTGTTTGTTCATTCACTGATCCATTCATTTAACAAACATTTGTATTACAGTGGAATTGGAACCAAAGCCCACATTTCCTTAACCCCAGTCCAGAGCTCTTTCAGGTACACTACACTCCATTGCCTCCCTTGAAAGGAGGAAGGCATTGCTCTCCTTCTCTTCTTGTTGCTGAACCAGTTTCATAAATAATTTCACTTTTAGAAGGGATGGGGGAAATGTTCTATAGGTGATAATTTCATTGCTAAAAGAGAAAGGGACATGGTTGGTAACAATAAACTTGAAATATACTGTATGCATCAAATTATATTGACTGCCATAAAAGAGTTACCAGTGTTTTATGAACATAAATATGCTACTTTTACTCTCTGAAAGAACTTCTGTCTAATGCACTTCCATACTCATTGTTTTGTTTGTTCTAAGAGAACGTGAGAGTTTCTACAAAATTGTTAGATAAGAGAATAAGATTTTTAGTTTATCTAGCAAAGCAAGTAATAAAAAAGGACATTTTGTTAAGAAACAGTCATAATTCATTTATCTTTCAAAATATGGTTAAAACGAGAGCTGTGCTGAGCAAAAAGACAGTATCTGAGCAACAGCTCATAACATGACTTCTAAGTAGAGCAGTAACTTTTTAAAATGAGAAAAAATAAATAAACCGAAGTGCCCCATATACATTTGCAATCAGAGATTTGTCAAGCTCAACCCTGTCTAGTTGTTACTGTAACAACCACCACTGCCTAATAAACGCCTGGGAAGAGGAAAGAACTACTATGCTTTTACTCCTATAGTAAAATTCAGTATTCAGAAATCAAGCATCTCAAGATCAATAGCTTAAAAAGCATTAAAACAGAACACAGTTGTACATTAAATAGATTTGTGCTAGGTATGATTAAACTATACTTACTACTGAGTGTTAACTTCAGCACTCAGTTTCGTGTAGATTTTTGACTGGGGGCATATTTGGGCAGAGGTTCGAGAACCCTTTTCCATTCCAGCCTTCATATGGACACAGATCGAAACAGAGTGCTCGTAGACACAGGTCTACACAGAGGGTACTTGTGGACACTGGGGTTAAATTCATTACACCATGTCTCACAAGGACTCCAGAGCTGGACACTGAACCACAATGTGCATAATGCATTAAAAAAGAAAAGGTGAGAGGTAGCATATGAAAGATAATCTGACCGAAATTTAAACAGTGGTTATGTAGAAGTCATGGTGGGAAAAAAAAGATAGCAGGAATATTTTCTGTTTAAGGGAAAAAATAAAAAAGCTTCTAGTACTTTCTCTGGTGCAAAATGGTGTTCCCATGAGGCAGTTTATTAATATATTCACTAGGCCTTAAAGTTCTAATGCTTCATTGTCAGGAAGACTCTCAACAACAATTATTACGGGTGAGTCAACTATTCTATTTTTGGCCATTAGGGGTCATTCAGATCAGCAATCAGAATGGAGGTCCTTTCTGGTCAAGGTTGACATAGAGCAACTTACATGTAGGAATTCTGATTCTGGTTTCCAGACGAAAACAGATAAAGGCCAAGCAAGATTCTGGTGGCGTCAGCTGAACCAAGTCTAGATGTGGGGGAGGGTGCCAGTTCCAGCGGTAGGTATGTGACCTGGTGTTGAGCTTCGTAATGCTCCCTGAAATGAACCACAAGTTTGTCCTTTCTTTGCCTCCTCGCTTACATCTCAGACTTGGTCCAAGGACTGGCTGTTATTATGGAAGAGTTATTTCGCTTAATGTGGTCAAGAGTTGATGCTCTAAGATCCATAGCAGGCCACGAGTGAAAGAAAAAGACAACTATAGGGCACCTGGGTGGCTCAGTCGTTAAGTGTCTGCCTTTGGCTCAGGTCATGATCCCAGGGTCCTGGGATCGAGCCCCACATAGGGCTCCCTGATGAGCAGGAAGCCTGCTTCTCCCTTTCCGCCTCCCCCTGCTTGTGTTCCCTCTCTCACTGTGTCTGTCTCTGTCAAATAAAATCTTAAAAAAAAAAGAAAAGAAAAAGAAAAAGACAACTATAAATTGATCTGGTGCATGAGAATTCAGAAAGATCATACAAATTTGATCTGGGTTTCTTCTGTAATAGCCACCATAGGGATTAATAAATCAGAAGTTAAGCATCACATTTTTATATGTTAACAATCAAACTCAAGGGTAGATTTTTACAGGTGAGTTTAGATCTCTGTGTCTGTAGAATAGATAACTGAGGATTCCGTTTTTACATTTATATGTGCACTTTTAACTTAAATTCTCTTTTTACTAAAGGTTTAACAGTACAGAAGAGTTCAATTATTATTTAATGTGTTATACTATGGCCATTTTAAAACATTTTGTTCACCTTTATTTACTACTTCTCATATTTTACCCTTTATGACAACTTAATTTTTAAGATCCTTTTTAAAACTTGAGGTACAATTGACATACAACATTATATTAGTTTCAGGTGTACAACATAATGATTTGATATTTGTATTTGGGTTTTTTTTCCTTTTTTTTTTTTTTTTAAAGATTTTATTTATTTGAGAGAGATAGCATATGCATGAGCAGGGAAGAGGGAGAGGGAGAAGCAGACTCCCGGCTGCTCAGGGAACCCAATGTGGGACTCGATCACAGAACCTCGGGATCATGACCTGAGCCAAAGGCAGATGTTTAACCAACTGAGCCACCCAGGCGCCCAGGGTTTTTTGTTTGTTTGTTTGTTTTTTAAGATTTTATTTATTTGAGAGAGAGAGAGAATGAGAGAGAGAACACGAGAGGGGAGAGGGTCAGAGGGAGAAGCAGACTCCCTGCTGAGCAGGGAGCCAGATGTGGGGCTCGATCCTGGGACTCCAGGATCATGACCTGAGCCGAAGGCAGTCGTTTAACCAACTGAGCCACCCAGGCGCCCCAGTTTTTATTTATTTTTTAATTGAAGTATAACTACATACAATGTTATATTAGTTTCAGGGATAGAATGTAATGATTCAACAATTCTATACATTTCTCAGTGCTCATCAAGATTAGTGTACTCTTTTAAAATTTAATTTTTTATTTGAGTAGAGTTGACACACAATCTTACATTAGTTTAGGTGTACAACTTAGTGATTTGACAGGTTTATACATTATGTTATGTTCACCTCAAGTATAGCTACTATATGTCCTTTTACATCATTATTACAATAAGCACTATATTCCTTATGCTGTGCCTTTTATTCTCATGTCTTATTCATTTCATAACTGGAAGCCTGTGTCTCCCACTTTTTTTTTTTTTTAAGATTTTATTCATTCGACAGAGAGAGACACAGCGAGAGAGGGAACACAAGCAAGGGGAATGTCTCCCGCTCTTCACTCATTTTGCCCAACCTCACCCCCCTCCCCTCTGGCAACCATCAGTTTGTTCTCTGTATTTATAGGCCTGATTCTGTTTTTTCTTTGTTTATTCATTTTGTGGTTTTGTGGGCATTCCCTTAAGTACCCCTAAAAATACTGAGCATCTTTTCATGTCTGTTGGCCATCTGTATGTCTTCTTTGGAAAAATGTCTATTCATGTCCTCTGCCCATTTTTTAATTGGATTGAGTTTTTTGGTGTTGAGTTGTAGAAGTTCTTTATATATTTTGGATATTAACCCCTTATTGGATATATCATTTGCAAGTATCTTCTCCCATTCAGTAGGTTGCCTTTTTGTTTTGTTGGTTTCTTTCACTGTGCAAAAGCTTTTTTTTTTTTTTTTTTTGATGTAGCCCCAACAGTTTATTTTTGCTTTTGTTTCTCTTGCCTTAGGAGACATAACTAGAAAAATTTTTCTATAGCTGATGTCAGAGAAATTACTGCCTATGTTCTCTTGTAGGGTTTTTATGGTTTCAGGTTTCACACTTAGGGTCTTTAATCCATTTTGAGTTTATTTTGTGTGTGGTGTCAGAAAGTGGTCCAATTTCCTTCTCTTGCATGCAGCTGTTCAGTTTTCCCAGCACCATTTGTTGAAAAGACTGTCTTTTCCCCACTGTATATTCTTGCCTCCTTTTCCATACAAGCATGGGTTTATTCCTGGACTCTCTATTCTGTTCCATTGATTTATGTGTCTGTTTTTGTGCCAGTGCCATACTGTTTTGATGACTACAGCTTTGTAGTATATCTTGAAACTTAGGACTGTGATCCCTCCAGCTTTGTCCTTCTCTCTCAAGACTGCTTTGTTATTCAGGTTCTTTTGTGGTTCCATACAAATGTTGGGATAATTTGTTCTAGTCCTGTGAAAAATGTTGGTATTTTGATAGGGATTGCATTACATCTGTCGATATTCGTATATATTGCAAAATGATCACCACATTAAGTCCAGTTAACATCAGTCACCATATATAGTTACAGAATATTTTTTTTTTATAATGAAAACTTTTAAAATTTACTCTTAGCAACTTTTAAATACGCAATAAAGTATTAGCTATAGTTGCCATGGTGTACATTACACCCCATGACTTATTTATTTTATGACTGGAAGTTTGTACCTTTTGACTCCCTTCACCCATTTCACCCACTCCCTTTCTCCCTGCCTCTGGCAACCACCAATCTGTTCTCTGTATATATAAACTTGGTTTTTTGTTTGTTTTTTAGATTTCACATAGAAGTGAGATAATATGGTATTAGTCTTTCTCTGATTTATTTCACTTAGCAGAATGCCCTCAAGGTCCATCCATGTTGTCACAAATGATAAGATTTCATTCTTTTTCATGGTTGAATAATATTCCATTGTGTATGTATACCTCATTTTTCATTTTTTTTTATTATGTTCAGTTAGCCACTGTATAGTACATAATTAGTTTTTGATGTAGTGTTCAATGATTCATTAGTTAAGTATGACACCCAGTGCTCATCACAGCATGTGCCCTCCTCAATGCCCATCACCCTGTTATCCCCTCCCCCCACCCTCCTCCCCTCTGAAACCCCCAAATTGTTTCTCAGTGTCCATAGTCTCTCATGGTTCATCTCCCTCTCTGATTTCTCCCTCTTTGGATTTCCTTCCCTTCCCCTATGGTCCTCTGTGCTATTGCTTATGTTTCACATATGAGTGAAACCATATGATAATTGTCTTCCTCTGCTTGACTTACTTCACTTAACATAATCCCCTCCAATTCCATCCATGTTGATGCAAATGGTGGGTTATTCATCATTTCTGATGGCTGGATAATATTCCATTGTGTATGCATACCTCATTTTTCTTTATTAATCCACTGATAGACACTTGGGTGGGTTGTTTCCGTATCTTGCCTAATGTAAATAATGCTGCAATGAACATGGGGATGCATATATATCTTTTACAGTTACTGTTTTTGTTTCTTTGGATAAATACCCAGAAGTGGAATTGCTGGATAATATGGTAATTCTATTTTTAAGTTTTGAGGAAACTCAATATTGTTTTCTGAAGTGGGTACACCAATTTACCTTATCACCTGTAGTGCACAAGGGTTCCTTTTTTTCCCACACGCTCGCCAACACTTGTTACTTCTTATCTTTGATAACAGCCATTCTAACAGGTATAAGGTGATATCACATTGTGGTTTTGATTTGCAATCGCCTATTGATTAGTGATTTCAAACATCTTTTTATGTAGTTGTTGGCAATCTGTATGTCTTCTTTGAGAAAAGTCTATTCAGATCATGTGCCCATTTTAAAAGTGGGTCATTTGTTGTTTTTGCTATTGAGTTGTGTGAGTTCTTTATATATTTTGGATGCTAACGCCTCATTAGATATACGATTTGCAAGTATTTTCTCCCTTTTAGTAGCTTGCATTTTCATTTTCTTGATTGTTTCCTTTGCTGTGCAGAAGCTTTCTAGTTTGATGTAGTCCCATTTGTTCATTTTTGCTTTTGTTGACTTTGCTTTTGGTGTCAAATCCAAAAAAATCATTGCCAAGACCAGTGTCAAGGGGCTTACTGCCTACATTTTCTTCTAGGAGTTTCATGATTTCAGGTCTTACATTCAAGTCTTTAATCCATTTAGAGTTAATTTTTGTGTGTGGTGTAAAATAGTGGGCCAGTTGCATTCTTTTGCATGGGGCTGTGCAGTTTTCCCAACACCATTTGTTGAAGAGACTGACCTTTCTCCAATGTATATTCTTGGTTCCTTTGCAGTAAATTAATTAAACATATATGGCTGGGTGTATTTCTGGGTTCTCTATTTTGGCCCATTGATCTGTGTCTATTTTTTTTTTTTTAAGATTTTATTTATTTATTTGATAGAGAGAGACACAGCGAGAGAGGGAACACAAGCAGGGGGAGTGGGAGAGGGAGAAGCAGGCTTCCCGCTGAGCAGGGAGCCCGACGTGGGGCTCGATCCCAGGACCCTAGGATCATGACCTGAGCCGAAGGCAGACGCTTAACGACTGAGCTACCCAGGCACCCCTGATCTGTGTCTATTTTTATGGTAATATGATACAGTCTTGATTACTATAGCTTTGTAATATGGTTCAAAACCAGGGCACATGATGCCTCCAGCTTTGTTCTTCTTTCTTAAGATTCCTTTGGCTATTTGGAGTCTTTTGTGGTTCCATACAAATTTTAGAATTGTCTTTTCTAGCTCTGCGAAAAATGCCATTGGAATTTTAATAGGGATTGCACTGAACCTGTAAATTGCTTTGGGTAGTATGGACATTTTAACAATATGAATTCTTCCAATCCTTGAGCACAGACTATCTTTCTATTTATTTGTGTCTTCTTCCATTTATGTCATAGTTTTCAGTATACAGGTCTCTTACCTCTTTGGTTAAATTTACTCCTAGGTATTTTATTCTTTTTCATGCAATTGTGACCACTTCTTAAAAGGCAAACGTAACCCAAAATTAAAACAATCAAGTATACTTTACTCAACTGCGATTATGGATATAATATTCTTACCTGATTCAGTTGTAAAAAACAAACCAAAAAAACCTTTGGTCCATGGGTTACAAATTCAAATGCCGATGGGGCCAATTAGGCAATCCTCTACAGAGGGCAAAATAATGAAGGTGGTGGGCTTGGGCAATGAAGGGTGATGGCCTATGGGTGGTAGACTGGTGTGATGAGGGCAGGTTGCTGTAGCTATGAGGACCAGTGGGGCCATGGTGACCTAGAATATACAAGATCAGTGAAAGGTGGCAGCCATAATTCAGCCCTAGCCAAATACAAGTCCAGGACTACCAAATCTGATTCTTTAAGGCAAACCACTTTTTCTGTGTCGTGGCCCAATTTTTAAACATGGGAAATTAGTTTATATTCTTTCAAAGCATTAAGCCAAACAAAACACAGCAAAGGTCAGATCTGACCTACAGGACACCAGTTTTTGGAATCTCATCTAGCCTGCAGTGAAAATTTCATCAATTTTCATTTAGTGTCATCCAATTTATTGTTTAACCTCTATGATCTGAAGAGAAACCAGGGTATATTTTTATACTATAGGAAAGTAGAAGACAAAGTAGTAAAGGAAACCGTTTTATAAAAAATAGCCCATGACATGAAAAGAACATATTTATATAATAATGCTACAAATAGATCCTCACATGTAAATATCTGGCTTGTGGTTTCTGACCACTTATAATGGCAACTTTATTGCACTGCTAAAAAGCAAACCACGAAAGCACTTTCCCGTCACTCACAATCAAGCTTCAAACATGTGGGCATGTTGAGCGTGCTCCCAGGCTTAATCAACTGTAATTGTATGGAAGTACTGACTACCCCAAAATTATCATTCCCTCTTAGTTGTAGAATTTTAGGGGGAATGTATGTCAATTACAATGTACTCCATGGAGTTAGGATTTGAAAATCTGAGGATGTGACAGTTTGAAAAATGTTTCTTTGTAGAGAAAAAATGTTGTCCTATCATATTGGCAGGAATAAAAGTGTCAAGTAATTCATGTTAATAAAAAAATTGCTATTGTCATTTATTGAAGATACTGCAGAAACTGTTCATAGTAATTTGTATAATTTCAAATAAGGAAATTCACCTGGATTGAGAATAATCAGTCTTTCTTTTCTATATTTTTCTTGACACACATTAGTGATTAAACTTGAAAAGACTCCAAAAAAGTAAAAACTCTTATCATTGAGAAGATAAACTCTGTATTATAAATTTATATAATAGCACATTACTTCATCAGGGGCAATTTCTCTAGAAAAACTTCGTGGCATCTTCAAAAAATCAGGATGAATGGAAAAGACCTTTCAAATAGAGCTTTTTAGGTTTTAGGAATGCTTTCAGGTGAGTGCATGAGCAGACATAAAATGAGAACTTCAGAGTTTTATCTTGCACATTTTATTTAGGCTGGTTTGGGGACAAATCTGCTAAAGCAGACAACCCAACAAGCCACCAAAAAGGGGGAGATTTTCTGCATATTTCCAACATTAAAATAAATGCCTATGTGAAGCGCCCACAGGCAGCGCATGTGGTCTGGAGCTCCAGTGATCTCATCCAGCCTGGCACTGAGCTCGGGGCTCCAAAGGACTGGGAGAATTCGCAGCATCTAGGTCTGTGGAAGGCTACAGGTCATTTGCTTATTGGTCTGTTTATGTTTCCTTTCATTTGTTTCTAATAAAAATCTTGGAGACCAAAGTTTCTGCTTGAGATGACTTCTTCAGAGTTCCAAAAGGCCTCACTAGGGCTTTCTGGCTACGCCATGACCATCGCCTAATGGATTACAGACACACTTTAGCTCACAGCTCCATCACAGCACAAGAGAAATACACAAGACAACATATATTCCACATCATGAATTTCCATTTGAGCCGAAGCCAGCATGTTAGGGAAAAATCAGAGATGGAAAAGACTTATCGGTCATATGTCCCATTCTCTCCTCATTTTCTCAGTGCAGTTGGCTCTCCAACTGTCATCTGAATTAGCCCAGTCACACGGTGACTACTGCTCTTAGGAAATTATTCCAGGACCAAGGAGATCTTCCTGCTATTGATTCTATCATTCCATGTAAAATTCCAAGTGTTTGATCTCATGTAATTCACCTCAAGTTTAATCTATTCATTACCCACTTCTATTCATCTGGGCAATAATGAAGTAAAATAGCAAGTTTATGTGTCTCATACATTACCTGACATAGTGGATGCTCACTCAATACTTGTTCCTTAGCTTTATTTCTAAAGTACTGCCTGACTTTAACTTGGAAAAGGGTGATATACTCTGAGAACTCTCTTCTAATTACTTTAAATCAATACACTCAGGGGTATAGAACTGAAAAATATCATTGGTGCTTTCATTATGTTGTTTCTCCCACCCTCCCTGTCCCTGCAACAATCTCCCTTGTCACCCCTAGAAAAATTAATTTTATACTGACTAAGATCTCCCATGAATCTCCTTAATTCCATGTGACTTCAATTCTTTTGATTGTTGATGGCTGCGTGCTTTTTAACCATCTCTCAATGCTTAGGCATAGCACAGATATGGCACGAGGATGAGCAGAAAAAGGAAGATGTTAAATGTAAGGCTGCACTTTGTAGATGCACAAATAATCTAACTTAACCCCTGAAGGACAAGCTTATAAACTTTTATGTACAGAAGTGAATCTCCATGAGTTCCTTGCAATGAAATGCTTTTATTATGCTATATATATATATATGCTATTATTATGCTATACTATTATGCTTTTAAGCAAGTGTTTTTGTCTTCGAAGACCCTAGAACAGAACATCCTATCCTCATTTTATCAAAATTCAAATTCAAACCAGGCCTACAACGCTGTATTGTATGATTTCCCTGCACTCTGCTTTCCCAGAGAAAGAGGATGGAAAGCAACTAGACATACACAGTCACGTCTCTTGGGTCTCAGTTAAATAAATGGTGAGGAAAGACATGAAGCAGGTCATCGTGAAAATGATGAAAGTCGAATGGAGGGGAAAGGTAGGACCAGGACTGCTGTGTGTGTTTGAGCAGGTGACACAGTGCACAAAGATACCACCCACATTGCCTATCATGTCAATCTGTCTATTTCTCAGGACAATTTTATGCCGGGTGGTACCAAAGTGTCCTGCACTAATGAAACCGCTGTATTATGATGATTTGCAGACCAACAGAAATAAAGTATCATGAGAAAGGTTACCTTTTTCTATTCACAAAAAGGCACCAGATAGACAAGAAGAGGGTCCACGTGGGGTGCTAAGGAAACAGAGAATAAGCCTGTTTAATTTAGTCTAGAAGCAAAGAAAGGCCTTCTGAGAAGGGAAGGATTAGCAGTTTAAAATTTTATTGCAAACTGCACAGAATATCCAAATTATTTCTTTTTACTAGATTTCTAGTATAATAGTTTCTCTGAATACACATTCTCAAATGGCAGTTAGGCCTGAAAGAAATCAGTCCTTCAGCTTCTCTGCAGTTAATTCGCAAGTGCACAAAGGAGCTACGAGGCCAGAGCAAGAAGGCAAAAAGTTACACACACGTCTTAGGCTGCCGTGCTTTTCCTCTGACAAATTTCTGTGCGTGTGTGTTGTGTGTGTGTTTAATGTGTTTTGTTTTGGCAGGTTATTTGGAGATTCTGGTATTTTCCAACATGTTTCAGTAGGGAGGATGTAGAGGCGTCAAAGGGTAATTGCTACTCGATGGCTGAACACATGAGCTGCGAGGATCCTACTTTTCTGCTCCCTGAAAATTAACCATGACATGGATAAGAACAATAAAAAGCTTTTCTTAAACTGGCTCCTCCATTTTAGAGAATTTCATCATCAGTCATCTTTTGGGGCCAGGGAACAGATGCCCTTATAATGAATACTGTTCTGTTTCTGTATCCAACACTGTTCTTAGGTGTTTGTGTTGACTCTGTTTTCTCCCCAGGACAACTTCTGAGGTAAGAACTCTTTTTATCTCCATTTTGCAGATTAGGGATCTGAGGCATAAACCTGTTTAAACTACTTGTGTGAGGTCAGAGCTTTCCAGTGGCAGAACTGAGATTTGAACCCTAGACCTAGCTGTGTGGCCCCAGAGCACATGTTCCTGACCATTCAACTGCCCTGTCTTATTGGGACAAATATCCAGCCTAGGCTGTAGACCAGATTGAAAACATCCATTAAGGGGCACCTGGGTGGCTCAGTAGGGTAAGCAAGCGTCCGACTCTGGATTTCGGCTCAGGTCATGATCTCAGGGTTGTGAGATCAAGCCCTGTGTTGGGCTCCACGCTCAGTGCGTGCAGTCGGCTTGCCCCTCTCCCTCTGCTCCTCCCCCCACTCACTTGCTCTCTCCCCCTCTCTTAAATAAATAAATAAATAAAATCTTAAAAAAAAAAGAAAAACATCCATTAAGCTTTCTTACTTAACAGAAATACAAACACAAGTCAACATCCAGAATTAGCCACACTGCCAGTGTAACGAGCATATTAGTCAGAATGAGCTTTTGGAGCTATTGCTCAGTGAGAAAAATAGGGTAAAAGTGCAAGGTGACACAAGGATACTAGGGCTCTGACATTCTCAAAAAGCTGGACCCAGGCCTGGGCATCCATATCTGCTAGGATCATTCCCCATTATCCAGTCCTTGAGACTCAGGCAGGCTCGATAACTCGCCGGAGCCAGGCAGTGGAGATCGGATAATGATTCATGTGAGCATGGCCTTAAGAATTCCCTAAAGGGGGCGCCTGGGTGGCTCAGTTGGTTAAGCGACTGCCTTCGGCTCAGGTCATGATCCTGGAGTCCCGGGATCGAGTCCCACATCGGGCTCCCTGCTCGGCAGGGAGCCTGCTTCTGCCTCTGACCCTCCCCCCTCTCATGTGCTCTCTCTCTCTCAAATAAATAAATAAAATCTTTAAAAAAAAAGAAAAAAGAAACTCTTCCTCTGGGGCGCCTGGGTGGTTCAGTTGGTTAGGCGACTGCCTTCGGCTCAGGTCATGATCCTGGAGTCCCGGGATCGAGTCCCGCATCGGGCTCCCTGCTCGGCAGGGAGCCTGCTTCTGCCTCTGACCCTTCCCCCTCTCATGTGCTCTCTCTCTCTCATTCTCTCTGTCTCAAATAAAAAAAAAAAAAAAAAAAAAAAAGAATTCCCTAAAGGTTTTCTGCAGAACTGCTGTCATTTGAGGATGCTTCATATAAAACTATTTTGTGGTCAGCAGGTTCTGGGAACCTGGCCTACTGCATCCGTCTCTGAAGGACTCACAGTGTGCGTGGGCCTGTCCTGGGGTGCGCTCCGCCAAGCCCTGCACTCATGAAACTGGCCTAACAGTTACCGTGCAATATCACAGAAATCGGTCTGACTGCGGAACTCTCTGTTTCTCGGGACCCCTCTGGTGCCACCAGTAAAACTGGTGTTGAGGGCTGGCTGCTTCAAGGTGAGCATGGCAGCGAGACACGGCAGCGCACACAGAAGGGGGACGGAAGGCTAGGCAGGAAGGGGGCTGGAGGCAGGAACGTGAGAAGAGCACAAACTGAAATAGCCATAATGCCTACCACAGGGTTTCTTATATGCTAGTCCTAAGAACAATCTGTTCCACCGAAGTTACAAAGGGAAAAGGACTTTTGATGATGCAGGACAAGACAGCAAGTCTGACGTATTAGCAGGCCTGGCATGTTGTGTGCAGTGAGACCAGAACACAGGATTACCTACCCGGGATCTCTTCTTACTTCTGGAAGGGAGAGAGGAGCACAGTGTTGGTGCGAATCAGATCACCTAAGCAGAGGAAGGAAGATGGAAGAAAGTACCTACCCTACGTTGGAGCTCCAACTTTTTTTAAGCTGTTCTGGATTTTAATGTTCTTTCCTTCTTTTTTTTTTTTAATTTTATTTATTTTTTTAAAGATTTTTTATTTATTTATTTGACAGAGAGACAGCAAGAGCGGGAACACAAGCAGGGCGAGTGGGAGAGGGAGAAGCAGGCTTCCCGCCGAGCAGGGAGCCGGATGCAGGGCTCGAACCCAGGACTCTGGGATCATGACCTGAGCCGAAGGCAGACGCTTAACCAACTGAGCCACCCAGGCGCCACCCCCCCCGCCCTTTTTTAATTTTAAAAACAACAAGAGATAGAAGAAAGGCCAGAAAAGAATAGGCAAACTCCCATTCCATGCAACATACAATATCTTTTTGTTTGTTTGTTTTTTTAAACTCAGAAGGAAGTCTGATTTCTTTCATGAATCTCCCAAGAAATAATTAGAGGAAAAATTCCAGCACAGAAAAATGTGGACACTCTTCTGCCTCATCTGTAGACAGAGCCATATGATATAGCTATTTTAAAAATACTTTCCTTTTTTGCTCCAGGCCCTTTAGAGTTTCTAGAATCTTTGTAAGGAATCTCATGGTGGTAGGGGTTTGTTCGGAGGAATATTCTCAATCACCAATGGTCCATAACCCACCCAAAACACTTCACAATAACCTAAATTCAGCTCAGGAATGCTGTGGGAATATTACTCATGAGCATATATTACTGTTTGAAAAGATTGTAAAGTAGGAAATGGTTTGTATTTGAGGCTTTAAGTTTTGTTTTTTGGTTTTGTTTTTTTTTTTTTTTTTTTTACTTCTTTGAATCATTTTATGGGCAGAGAGGGGGGTTGCTAAAAAGGTTTTAACACTGAAATGTTAATTGGGGCTAAGAGCACACAAGGAAAAATGATCTGTAGCATTAAGAAAGTTGCATCTGTCAAACCAGTGGGCTCAGAGTTTGAAGGTAGGTAGACTGGCCCCATGGGAACTTGGGGAGGACAAGACACTGTCTAAGGTGAGTGAGAAAACTTAAGCTTCCTATTATTAATGGGAGTTTTGCACAAGTCAAGCCAAGATGAGCAGCTTCACAGGCAGCTTCCCTGAAGGTCTGCAAGGGGTATCAAGGGACCTTTAATCTCTGGCAACTTCCAAATTCTCACTTTAGGTCCCACAGGGCCTGGTTGTATTTCATTTCTGTGAAATCCTGATCATTATAAGAAATCGAGCCACACTGCCCTTTCTTTGAGCTAGCTGGAGTAGCTCTCTTTTTCTTGTTCCCAGAGAAAAGGATTCCCAGTACCTGGGAGACTTGAGATAAATGGAGAATTTCATTACAATGTGGTATACTCAACCCTCCCCCAGGTGTCTGTTTATATTCCTGGACACTTTTTTGTCTATTTCATGGAAGCTAAGCATAAAGCAAAACAAGAAATAAAAACGAAAACCAGCTCTAAATATACAGTCATTATGAAGAATAATACAACATTTTCAGAACAACTGGGGCCTGTAGAGGTCCCAAGGTTACAATATAACTAGATCTTTTATCTATTATTCCTCAGATTTTGAGAAGACAGAAGAAATCCATAATGTCCATGTACATGGTATGTGTAGCAAAGAGAAGATATGCTAAAATTGCTCATTTTATTAGAATGTTAAAAATGGCAAATGATTACATAAATTGTGTGCCTACTCAGAGTAGTAACAAGATGGCATTTTTAACTGAGCAATTTTTAGAAAGCTGAAAAGGAGTTCTTTGCTAAATATTCTACTATAGTATACCATGAAAGCATTTTAAATAAAATATTTTGAGTGGTTAAGAGGGGGAAACTACTATCAAAATAAATTAAATTCTTTTTGAATATATATTATTTCAGTTTAAAGCTATGCTTTCTTTAAGAATATCATACTTTTTTTGGAGAAATATGAAAATTGGGACAGGTGAGTGCATCTTACGCTTGATCTAGTTGTTACCAGACAATGACCATCAACTCATTTCTACTTCAGTGGTTTCAAACTCACAGACATTTAAAAACATGCTGTTTCCATAGCAGCAAATAAAGAGTAAAACTAAAAAGCTTTTATTGATTTTAACAAGGCTTAGAAAATTTATTCATCTTTTTAGCAATGATTTTTGCTCTTTTTTTTTTAGTCTTTAGTAACATCTCATGTTCTCTTTTCTAGATATATTTAGTAAATCATAAATTTTGAAAGTAGGTTAATTCTGACATTACTATAAAATTACACATTCTTATAGTAATGTAGAATACCAATATTTAATTCTTTTTTTAAAAGATTTATTTTAGGGGCACCTGGGTGGCTCAGTCGTTAAGCGCCTGCCTTCGGCTCAGGTCATGATTCCAGGGTCCTGGGATCGAGTCCCACATCAGGCTCTCTGCTCCGCGGCAAGCCTGCTTCTCCCTCTCCCTCTGCTCCTGCTCTCTCTCTCAAATAAATAAATAAAATCTTTAAAAAAATAAAAAAATAAAAAATAAATAAAAGATTTATTTTAGAGAGAGTGCGAAAGGGTGTGCACAAGCACGAGCATGTGAGCCGGGGGAGGGGCAAAGGGGGAGGGGGAGAGACAGAGAGAGAATCTTAAGCAGGCTCCAGGCCCAGCACGGAGCCCATAGGACTCTATCCCACAACTTTGAGATCATGACCTGAGCCTAAATCAAGAGTCAGACACTTAACCAACTGAGCCACCCAGGCACCCCAATATTTAATTATTTTTTTTAAAATAATTATTTATTTATTTATTTATTTAATTTATTTGAGAGAGAGAGAGCACAAGCAGGCAAGAGGGGCCAAGGGAGAGGGAGAAGCAGGACCCCCCCTCTCCCCCCCAGGAGCAAGGAGCCTGATGCGGGACCCAATCCCAGGATGCTGGGATCATGACCTGAGCTAAAGGCAGAGCTTAACCGACTGAGCCACCCAGGTGCCCATATTTAATTCTTAATGTAAAAGAGATACTGAACTATGGAGTCAAGATCAGGCATCAAACACTCGAAGTACATGTAATGTCAGTTTAACATATGAATAAAGTATGATGTATTATGAATGCTTTTAGATAATTCATTAATAATTTAAAAAGCATGGTATAACGTTTGCTGTTCCTGTTAATTTATTAAGATGCAGACACTGGAAATCAGGCTTTTAAACATAAATATTACAGTTACAAAGTGCAGGTTTCTTCGTGAGTAACGTGGCAGCATGATGGCGGATCAGTGAAATCAGTGTAATTGTTCCAAGTTAAAGTGCTAAGAAAACAGGAAGTAGACTTTCTTCTTTTATTCATATGTTGTTCAAGTTACATGATTTTTGCCAGCTATTCTGATTTCTAAAAATTTCTATTTGTCAAAACACAGAGAAATGGCTCACCTGTAACAGACACACAGCCTAATGGTGCGATGAGAGTAATGGGAGCAAATCCGTAGGCTGCAAAGTTGCCCATTTCCCCCACGGCCATGAGAGCGGCCCCAGCCCACCACAACATGCTCTTGAAGTAGGGCCTTGGGTGTTCCTGGTGCGCCAGCTGGACATGAGAATATTTCTGGAAGTAAATCAGAATGCAAATAATATTTCTACCCAATTAAAACTTGCTTTGAACATTTTTTGGTCCTATGCATTTGCATCATGGCTTTTAAGTTTATTTGCCGATTATTACAGAGCAATTATTATGGTTTTCTGCTTGTTCCAAACATATTAACTGCAGAAGCGACTGCCACTGACAGAGAATTTTGTGGTGGAAAGGGCCTTCCTTACGTAGGAATTTTACTTAATTCTCATAACTGTGAAATTAGTATTAGTAATTGCTCTCCAAAGATGAGCAGTGTGCTAAAGAATTAAGTGTCTTTTTAGTTCACCACACCACAACACTTCCTTTAGAATGTCAAAAAAGTCCAGATGCCAAAATAAACATTGATGAAATAAAAATAATAAGTTACTCAAGAAAACCTGTTTGGAAAGGGATTTAAATGTATGAGTCAAAGCAGCTACCACAATAAACATAGCAGGGCAGATGCTTTGCTGGTATGGGGTCCGGTAGTAGAAGCTTGTTTATACATGGTAAGAGTGTTTCTTTGTATTTGAAACATCTACATTCCTGGAAAATTGGCCGTTAAATAAAGCCCTATTTCCTTATTGATTTGATGATGCCTGAACCTACTTTCTACTAAGAAGTATGTACCATTCTAGATTACATTTAAAAACTTTTAAAAAAATAAAAGTGCTAGAAGAAAATGCAGAACATTAAAAATAAATCTTGTTTATGCCAAGATTATGAACATCTTTGGTACAAATTTGTGGTACATATTCACAAGCCACCAAGGCATCTTGCCTCAGCCATGTAATATTATTAAGAGGCCCACAAAAACATTTAATTTCTTTTAAAATCAGAAGAAGAAGAAGTGAATGCAATCCAGCCTAGACTCTATTTGTCTTTATATCAATGAGGTCATAAAATATAATTGTTTATATATTTTTGTGGAAGAAGGATCCCCAAGAGGTGCCTGAGGCACCTTGAAGTCATCATGTGTTCCTGGATCAAACTATAGAGTTAGAAAAATAAGCTACTTCTTACCTGAATATTTAGGGAAATACTCATTACCAAATTTCCTAAAATGGCTAGCAAAACTCCCAAAAGGTGAATCTGTAAAAGAAAATGTTTTCTTTTTAAAATAGCACTTGTAAGATACTTCCTAAATATCCAAAAAAAAAAACGCCCAAAAAACCCAAAACAAAACAAAAACCAACAAAATTTAAGTTGATACATTCATTCGTTTTTTTCATTCAGCAAGTATTTACTTAGCACCCATTTGCTAGGGTCGTTTGGATTATGAATAGTGGTTTTACTAGGATCTGTCTTTTTCACTTTAGTCAAATATTATTTTTTAGAACTAGCGCAATCCTTTACTGAATTCTCCAGATATTTGCCTCATTGACTCAAATAAAGAAAATAGTTACCAGATTCTGACTTTTTCTCACTAAGGTGCTTCTTATTTGTCCTTTCTGTTGACTTTCCTCAGCAACGCCTCTGATCATAGTGTTCATTGCCTCAAGGATGGACTGTATAATTGTTGCCCATCTTGTCTCCCTCGCTCCTTTCTCTTTCTATATTCTGGAGGACTGTGGTATGAAGGAAAGAGTGCTGGCCTTGGAATGAAAGGATGTATCTGAGATTCAGATCTGCTATTTTCTAATGGGTGACTCTGAGGAAGTTATTTCAGTTCCCTGGCCTCAGGAAACAAAGACGTTGAATAAGATGTTTTCAAAATCCCTTTATTTCTAAAGTTCTATGATCTCCATGGGAGACAGACTACATTTTCCCACCACTTCTCTGATCAAGAACCCACAGTGTTTCTCTACAGTCAGCTACATCGAATATAAAACTACCATACCACCTCCCCATAATCTGTCCTCATCCTGACCATCCAATCAGCCACAGCATATTTAATGTACCCTCTACCTCAGGTACCTGGCGCTCGATGTTCTCCAGTCTGTCACACTTTGTCTCCCCTCTTGTCTAGAGAGAACAGTGTCCTTCCTCAGCCCATTCTGGTCTACTTCACCCTCCTGGCCTGCTGAGGTCTGCCTCTCTGAGACCCGTTCACATCACCGCAGCCCATCCTTACTTTCTCAGACTCTAAATGGTAAGTGCTTTTATTTCTTCTTTTACGTTGTCATGTGCATCATTACGTTCTATGGATGGATGGCAAATTGAGGGAAAAGGACCATGTCTTAGGCTTCTATTGGATCGTCTACACCATCTACTTTACAAAATTCAGGGCTCTTGAAAAACACTGGCTGGAAAAAGTATATAATGATTTAAAACAAGAACTAAAAAGAGATTTAAAAATAAGTTCTTACACATTGCCCAAGAAATTTACTATAGAGAGTGCATGTATTATTTGATGACTTCAAAAGATACATTTGCTGCTCCTATCTAGGTTCAAAGGTGTCACATCTTGTAGCAGTATAAATTAGCAACAGTATCAGGGATCTTTGCCCTCCTTTTTTTTTTTTTTTTTTTTTTTTTTTTACAGTACATGACTTCTAGCTAGCTTCAAATTCCAAGGAGTTATTTGAATTTCAAATGAATATTATAATCACAAGGAACCCTTCCAGCATGCAAAATGTCTTGGAAGTTTTAGAACTTTATTATATGTGCTGAAGTGAAATTCAGTGTTTTTAAAAAATGAAGGAGAAAAGTTGAAAACCCATTTAATAGTTGATATACAATATCCATAGCCTTTAATCAGTTAAGAATTTTCTTTTCCTAATAAAGTCACTTGGCAATAATTCTGATCACTATTCCTCATGGGGAAAAACTGTATCATAATAAATTGTGCTATTTCCATGCTTTCAATTTATAATTGAATGCATTTGGCAGTAATCAGGAAAATAAAGATTCAGGAGAAGTTCGGGATTGAATGGATGATTATGAAATCTTCCATAATTATAACAGTAAATTATAGAATAGAAATAACTTCAGTTCTTTAAATCATTCACTGAGTAGTTTAAACACCACCAGGCTGAGTGTTTAGAAATCGGCAATGATTGCTCAGATATGACACCAAAAGTGCAGGCAACAAAAGAAAGAATAGATAAGCTGGAATTCATCAAGATTAAAATCTTTTGTTCAACAAAGGACACTATTAATGGAGTGAAAAGGCAATCTACACAATAGGAATAAATATTTGCAAATCATGTATCTCCTAAATATTGATATCCAGCATAAAGAACTCCTACAATTCAGTAACAAATTAACAACCCAATTAAAAATAGGCAAAGGACTTGTATAGACATTTCTCCAAAGAAGATATACAAATGGCCAATAGGCACATGAAAAGACTTTCAATAGCACTAATCACTCAGAACATGCAAATAGAAATCACAATGAGCTACCACCCATTCAAATGGCTACAATTAAAAAACAACAACAACAACAGAAAATAACAAGTGTTGGAAAGGATGTGGAGAAATTGGAACCCATGTGCACTGCTGAAAAGGATGTTAAATGGTATAGTTGCTGATCATACACCATATATAAGAATTAACTCAAATCAAAGACCCAAGTTAAGAGCTAAAACTATGAAATTCTCAGGAAAAAACACAGAAATAAACCTTCATCATCTTGGATTTGGCCATGGATTCTTATAGATAAGACATCAAAGGCATAAGCAACAAAAGAAAAAATAATTGGACCTTATCAAGATTAAAAACTTTTGTGTTTCAAAGGACACTATGAAGAAAGTGAAAAGACAACCCATAAAATGGGAGAAAATATTTGGAAATCAAATATCTGATAAGGGACTTTTATCTAGAATATATATATAGATACCTTAGAACTCAATAACAAAAAGACAACCCAATTAAAATTGGGCAAAGGATTAGAATAGACATTTCTCCAAAGAAGACAAATGGCTAATAAACACATGAAAAGATGTTCAACATCATTAGTCATCAGGTAATGCAAAAAGAAAACACAGTGATATACCACTTCACACCATTTAAGATGGTTGTAATCAAAAATAATAACAGGTATTAGCAAGGATGTAGATAAATCAGAAGCCTCATACACTGCTGATGGAAATACAAAATGGTGCAACTACTTTGGAAAACAGTCTGGCAGTTCCTCAAAAATGTAAGTGTGGAATTTCCATTTGACTCAGCAATTCCACTCCTAGGTATATATCCAAGAGAAATGAAAGCATGTCTACAGAAACATTTGTACACAAATGTCCATAGCAGTATTACTCATAATACAGCCAAAAGTGAAAATGACTCAAATGTCCACCAACTAATGCATAAATAAAATGTAGTGTATTCACACAATGGAATATCATTTACCCATAAAAAGGAATGAAGCACAGATATATGCTACGACCTGGATGAGTCTTGGAAAATTTATGCTATGTAAAAGAATCTAGGGCGCCTGGGTGGCTCAGTTGGTTAAGCGACTGCCTTCGGCTCAGGTCATGATCCTGGAGTCCCGGGATCGAGTCCCGCATCGGGCTCCCTGCTCGGCAGGGAGTCTGCTTCTCCCTCTGACCCTCCCCCCTCTCTTGTGCTTGCTCTCTCTCATTCTCTCTCTCTCAAATAAATAAATAAATAAATCTTTAAAAAAAAAAAAAAAAGAATCTAGTCACAGAAGACCACATGTTATATGATTCCTTATATATTAAAGGTCCCGAGTAGACAAATCTATAAATAGAGAAAGCAAATAAGTGGTTGCTTAGGCCAGGTAAGGATGCAGGGCTCAGGGATGACAGCCAAAGGGTGGAGGGTTTCTTTTTGAGGTGATGAAAATGTTCTAAAATTGATTGTGGTGAGGGTCACACAACTCTGCGAATATACTAAAAACCAGTGAATTGTACACTTTAAAATGAGTGAGCTGTTTGAGTTGTGAACTGCATTTCAATAAAGTTGTTCCAAACAATAATTTTTAATACACAAAGTATTTACACCTTTTTTTTGGCCCAAAGAAATAAAATGCTACCAATGTAGCTCACTTTCTTACAGTCTCTTCTCCCTTCCAGAGATAAGAAACATTTTTCTCAAGTTGATATAGATCAATTTCTTTCCTAGATTTGCTTTTATCTTTGCTTACTGATTTTTTTCATCTTCTTCATTTAGACACTTAACTCATTAGCTTTTCCTCTTTCTTCCTATCTAATAATACATACAAGCACAGCTATACATATTCCTATAAGTACACCCTCTGTTTTAGCTCCATGCTTACTTTAGGCATTTAGTTCATTGGCATTTACTTCTAAATATTTCCTAATTATTTTATTATTTTTATCTGAACCTTATTCAAAGGTCTGTTTTTTAATATTTCTAAATGAATTGGGGTGTTGGTTATTGCTTTGTTACCAATTTCTAATTTTATTGAGCTGTGGGCAGAAAACAGGCTGTGTGTAAAATTAACATTTGCTTTTTGACCTACTATATGGTATAAACTGAAATTTATTTTGTGACTTAATAGTGAATGGTCAAGTTTTATAAGTATTCCATGTATGCTTGAAAAGAGAGTATTTAATTGTTGGGTTAATACATTCTATATAAATTTTGCTATCTATCTATCCATCCATCTACCCATCTCCATTAATTCATTGCTCAAATCTCTGCTACCTTAATACCAATGTAGGTATATTAAAAGTATAACTATGAGCATGGATTTATCCATTTTCCTTTTAAATATACTGAATTTTGCTTTAAAAAATGTAAAGTGCTATAGTGTTGGTATATATATAAGTTCAGGATTGTTTTATCTTCTCAGTTAATTGTTCCTTTTATCATTATATATTGACTCTTTTAATCTCAATAATGTTTTCACTTTAATGTTTATTTTATCTGATATTACTATAATATAGCTGCTTTCTTTGGATATTTGCCACTTTCCACATCACTTACTTTCAATATTTCTGTGTCATTATATTTAGTCAGGCCTCTTATACATTGAAAATAACTGAACTAAAAAAACAAAACAAAACCTGAGACTTTCTGTTAAATGGGAAGTTTGGTCCATTTTATTTATTGTGATTATAAGTACATTTTCATTTGTTTCTACCATCTTTTTTTTGTATTTGTAGTTATTTTGTTTTTTCTTTGCTTTCTAGTTCCTCCTTTCCTCTATCTTGTTGGATTGGTTAATCATTCTTTACTTTTCTCCTTCCCCTACTCATTTGGCTAGGAAGTTATATATCTTATTTATTTTCTTTTAGTAATTATTGTTAAGTTTTAAAAACTTTTTATTTTGAAATACTTATTGACTCACAGTAGGCTGTAAAGAAATGTAAAGGTAGGTCCTGTGCGCTCTTCCCCCAAACTCCCCTCAAAGTCAACATCTTACACAACTATAATGAAACATCAAAGTCAAGAAATCAGCATTGGTAAAGCTCTTGTTCAAATTTTACCAGCTATGCTAGCTAGCACTTGTGTGTATGTGTATATATGTGAGAACAAGATACTCATCTGTACCATCATCACAAGATTCCCTTGTGTTACCCCTTTATTGATACACCCGTCTTCTTCCCCTCCCCATCTCTAACCTATAGCAACCACTAATCTGTTCTCCATCTCTAGAATTATATTAATTTACATATGCTACTTAAATGGAACCATGCCGTTTATATACTTTTGAAATTGGCATCAGCCTTGACGTTCATCCAAGTTGTTGGATCAATAGTCCATTCCTTTTAAATGCTGAGTAGTATTCCATGGTATGGATGTACCACAATTTATTTAACCACTCACCCACTGAATGACATTTTGAGTAGTTTCCAGTTTTTGGCTGTATGAATAAAGCTGCTATGAACACTGTGTACAAATTCTGTATGAAAGTAAGTTCATTGCTCTGGGATAAAGGCCAAAAGTGTAACTGCTGGATCATGTGGAAAGTCTATTTTAAGTTTTGAAAAGAACTGCCAAAATATTTTCCAGAGTAACTGTCCCATTTTACATTCCCAACAGCAATATATGAGTGATACAGTTTCTCTACTATTCTATTTATCTTGCATTCTTGATATAAATTCTAATGTTAATCAACATTCCCAACCTCCTGAACATTATAAAAATTTTGTTTTAACGACATTCTCTCCTCTCCTATGGTCTTAATGGTATATTAGCTCCACCTTGCTTTTATATCCTCACATTAGTCATTGTTATGATTGTTTCATACAATCAATACTTGCCTTATTTATCCATGTTTATTTCTTTGCTCATCATTGCTCTTTTGAAAAAAAAAAACAGCTTTGAGATATAATTCACATACCATCACGTTCACCCTTTTAAAGTGTACAATTTAATAGCTTTCAGAATATTCAGAGTTATGCAACTATCACCACTATCTGATTTCAGAATATTTTCATCACCCCCCAAAACAAACTCTACACCCATTAGCACCCACTTCCCATTCCCTCCTCCCCTCAGTCCCTTGCAACCACCAAACTACTTTCTGTGTGGATTTGCCTATTGTGGGCATTTTATATAAAATGACTCATAACAATATGTGACCTTTTGTGTCTGGTTTCTTTCACTTAGCATGTTGTTTTCAAGGCTTACTATGGTATAGCATGGATCAGCATGGATCAAGAATGTAGAATATATCATTCCTTTGTATGAAATATTCCATTGTAAGGATTTATCACATTTTATTTACATATTCATCAGTTGATGGACATTTGGGTTGTTTCTACTTTTTGGATATTAACATTCTGGCATCTTAATTTTCTTTCTGGGTTCAGTGTCCTTCCTGAAGAAACCTTTAGTAGCTCTTTCAATGAAATCTTTGAGTTCCAGTTCTCTGTTATTCTGCAAATACCTTTATGTCATCTTTCCCCTTGAGTATAGAAATGCAGGCTGACAGTTACTTCATTCAGTGCTCTGATGATATTATTCTATTGTCACCTGGGGCTGCTTGTTGTTGAGAAGTAAGTTGTCAACCTAATTGTTGCTCCTTTGCAGATGGTCTGTCATTTTTCTCAGGATGCTCTTAAGATTTTGTCATTGGTTTTCAGCAGTTTCACTAGTTTTTCGGTATGTGAATTAGTTTTTGCTTAGGACTCATGCTTCCTCAATTTGAGGATTCATGTCTTTCACCAATTTGGTTAAGTTCTCAACTATTATCTATTTGAATGTCCTCTCCCTTTTGTTCTATTCTCTCCACATAGAACTCCTGTTATCAGTAATGTTAGATTCTTAAATACTATCCTTCTTGTTTCCTGTTAATATCATATTTCCAACTCTTTATCTCTTAATACTGTATTCTGGACAATTTCCTCTGACAGAAGATCTGTTCTAGGTTAGCTTTTCTGACTTCTGTCCTCTGAATTGAGTCTTTACACACTTCTATGTCTACATATATTCTACAATACTGCGATGATTTTGTACAAGTTCATTTTTCCTCTAGACTATAAGCTCCTTGAGGGCAGAACTGTGACTTACTTGTCAACTCATTTTTGTAACCCTAATGACTAGTATAGGACCTGGCAGAATGATGTTGTTTATTAAATGCTTTTTGAACTGATTATAAACTGTCTAGAAATAGCACATTTTGGCCTTTGGTCCTAGGAAGATCTCAAAGGGAATATTTTGTAATCAACTGGAGTTTGAATATACTAAGCTCTCAGTTTTTGTGAGAACACAAACTTGTCCCAGAATTCAGATTTCAACAATTAAGAGTTTCCACTAGTGTGCAATAAAAAGCTGCTTGCTGACATTTAAAATCTAGTTAATTCATATTA